TGTGCGACCTAAATGACTGTCTGTTCCTAAACAAGCACTTTCATAACCATATCCATCTGACTGATGCTAACCCTTTCGGTTTGAATGTAACCTTTTTCTCATGACTCACCTTCGGCCGAAGAGGTCAGACTCTGCGCAGACGAATGGGGTGATCGGCTGTACCGCCCAGCACCAGGAACCGGTGCGTCGTGTGACGATGCCCCCGAGTGTTGCATGGAGCTTGGAGGGGTTTGGCGACGGCTTGTGGACGGGCCATGGCGTACCACAGGGGACATGTAGCCTGCAAGAAAGGAAGGACAAGATCAGCCTCATGAAAAGAGGTTCATTACCAATTTTACTCGCGTGTACATTCATAGGATCATGCAGGACATCCGTCCTTCCGAGCGCCAAGCCCGCGAGGCTTGAAATGGAGTGACAGTTGAATGCAGCTCAAACGTATCAGAGGACATTAAAGCTTCTTCCAGGTCCCTGAGGAGTATGTCCTCTTTTGGTTGCGAGTGTCGGACCCATACACGTAGCTACACGTACAATGTATATTAAATTGCTAGTACTTAAGTGCCGACTTGCAGTGTAACCTCCTAGGTGCATCCATATCTGTGCACAAACGTATGGAAAAATCCAAAGTTTGTATGTCTGTTTTCTCAAACGGTGCATCAACGTCAATCAAAAAAGGCCCATATGCATAGATGAGTAAATGGGCAGTTCATTTTGCTTTGCGTAAGCATTGCAAATGCATGCACACTGCACTGCAGATGAATTTTGGTGTGGTTTTCAATGCCTCTCAAATTGTGCTGTATGCCATATGTATGTTGTACTTGCCCATTGTATTTAGAGTACTTCATTTGGAATTTGTTCCATGTTATTTCATTGAAAATGTCTGTGTTCAGGAGGCGTCGGGACTGTTCTGCACATGGAATGGTAAGTTAGCACTCTGGTTTGTAGTTTAATATAGCTCTACAGCTGAAAAAATAGTTCTGCTTCCTATTACACAACATTCATAAATACCTCAGACAGTTTCAGTATTCAACAGTAGGCAACGTGACCATGTATTAACCTTGCTAATGCCCACTGTAATTTCATAAGGCCCGCTGTGTAAAAAGGCACTGTTACCTAGATAGAAGACAGCTTAATTCATCCTATTGGTCAAGAGACTGTGTGAGCCGCAGCACGCAAAACTTGCCTCACGTGCACCAAGTCCATATCAGGAGATTCTTCTAGACTACTTGCACAAGGAATACACAGGTACCATAAAATGGACACCGGACGGGGGTGGTCAGTCTCAAACTAATGTTTAAGACAGGATCAGGAGACTGAACACTGATAATGCCCTTGCTGCAGCTCATGAATCAGTCTCATCTATTCTCCTGAGCCGGTCTTAAATGCAAGTTGAAGACCAGCCAAGCACATATTTATTCTCTTATTTGAAAACAGGGTAGGTACACATGTACATGTACTTGACCTACAGGTAAGTGTAGCAGTTTTTCACTTTGTTTCTAATCAATTTGATGTCAAATCACATGTGCATATTACAGAGGAATCCAGCGACCGTGGTAATGCTGTCACTGACCATCTGCAGCAGCCACCACCAATGGCAGTAAGCATTGCGATAACTATTGTTAACAACCACTGTCATGTACCAGTTGCTCTATGCAGAACTGAACACAGTCCTCTCCACCATTAAAGGGGGCCACCATATGGGAAATGGCCACTGAAACGTTGCTGGATTTGTCTATCAGGCATGGATTGGATATCAATCATAGGGTGAAATTCTGTGCACATGCACAACGTTCATGATTGAAACTCACTCTGCAGAATGGGAGACGACTCTCGCTTGGTGTATTTGCCTGCTATGCCCTCTGACGTCAACGGTTTGGAGGAGTCCTTTTTTCGAGAGAGTATCATCTTGGTCCTCTGTTTGAAGCACACTCTACATGACCATGTTGATCCTGTTTATGATTTCTGTTGGCAAGGAAAGCATCACGCCAAATATCATCACTGTTTTCACGCTCTGATCATATGTACATGTACAAACATGTACAAGAACACAACTTATGGTTTTTAATATCAGAATTGATGGTTCGGGGAGCCAAAAACACTAAACATGCTAAACACTTTATAAACTAGACTTAAAATGATAGAATCATCCATAACCACATAATCTCCATCCCTGTTGCTTGTGCTGTTCATCTGATATAGAGTACACATTTAATATACATGTACAATAAGCCTTTTGCGAGTTAACTTTGACCCAAATCTGGTACACTGAGTTCTTTAAATTCACGCGAACATAACAACTTGAATTCTCCTTACTAAAACCACTGATGGATTCCAAACTCATATCAACATGTTTATTAATATTATGACATCCTCTCCAAGATCATATCAAAACAAAACAGAAAAAAATAGTGGGAAAATTTATGAGGACCTTACACAAGTTGTAAATACGGTCATTGATGGTCATGATGGTAGGTAAAAGTACGCCAAGGCCTACATGTATGTCTTAGTTTTAGTTTTTTGTTTCCTTATTATAGGTAGGGACATAATGAGTGACGGCACAGTTCATTTGGGAACTCATTTTCTTAAATAGGAAACTGTGATTAAACTTTTGTCTTTTTCTGCATGCTCTAGCTCCTCTATTTAATTTCCTATTTGAAATTTTTTGAAATTTCCAGCGAAGCCAACATTTAATTCATTGAAATTAGGCAAGGAGAACACAGATTTCATGAAAATGTGGATTTTGAGCTTTCAGTAAAAATCGTCAGCGCAAATGCCTGTGGCATGCACTATGTGGAAAATCAAGCTTGCGCTCGAGATCTCTCCAGGAGATTTATAAAAATGTGTCCTTGCTATGTTTGTTGAATCTGATCCTTAAGCTTAAAACATGCTGAAATGGAAAGCAAGAAAGTTACAACTGAATTCCGAACATGAAGGTACTGGTTGTCTTAACTCGAGGTATGAGTTGTCTAGGGTACATTTACAAGTTGTCCGAGGTACATGTACGAATCGTCCAAGGTACGAGTTGACTTGAAAGCAAATTAATGTTTCTTTGCTTTGCAGGGACCGATGGAATCCAAACTTATATCAAAATGTTTCTAATGACATCCTCTCCAATGTCAAGTCAAAATGAAACAGAAAAATATAGCCTAGGGCCTAGTTGAACAATTTATGAGCCTCCCTACATGTAAGGAACATCAAGAGCAGGGTGTTAAACATCCCCAGAACTGTGAGGCTCGTCATTTGCCGCACTCACACAAACGTGCCCTAGCCATGGTATGCAGGGTAGGCCAACATACTGTACGTGTACATGTACATTCGGTTCCTACACTGTACATGTATATTATCGTGGTAACTCTATTATCGCAGTATCAGAGATTTTGAATTTTGCATTGCCAGTGAGATCCCAATCAGCAATATTCGCTTGGGTAATCAATAAATTATGGCCTGATATAAGTTTTATTAAAACAGAGTGAAAAATTCCGAAAGGTTCTGTAAGTTTTTATAAGATTTAATAAAAGATGTAATTTTTCTTAAATTCATAAATTTTCCTTTACCGTGTCTGTCATTGCCTGACATCTATTTCTTTAACCCTAACCCCCAAGGCTCCTGCACTAGAAAGCATACTGAACCTCACAAAATCCAACAGGTTCATGTACTTGTCTATGTACTTATACATGCAGGTTAGTGTACCAAACCTGATAAACTCGAACAGAATGAGCCCGTTGGAGTTTGAGTGATATGGTATGGATGGGTCTATGCAGTATAGGATGACTTGCACTGAACAGTACCAAACCTGACAAAATCAAGCATAGTCTAACAATTGGTACAGCAAGTCAGACACTGCACACAATGACTCCTGTGTGTCCCAACTCACACAGAATCCAACACCATCTCCCTAGGCCTTTCATCCGAAGTCTCACAAAATTCAACAGCAGGTTCCTCAGGTACGGTACCAAACCTGCCAAAACCTGCCAAAACCTGCTGTTGGAGTATGGCAGGTTTTGGGCAGTTAGGGTTAACAGTTATGTCTAATGTTGACTGGCCCTCGCTGAGTTCCCATGTCAATTCCGAAATGGCCACAGGTGTCTAAAATGTCTAACGGCACAGTTTAACTGCGAAAGTGCCCATTTTTTTCAGAGTCAAACTACATGTAAGGGCTTCTGCGCTGAGAAACTTTTGCAAGCGTAAAGTGCACCCCAGTTTACCTTACAATAGACTTGTATCAATTGTATTTTTACCGTCCGGGGCAATTGATAGTGAATCATTACATTGGCATTATTGTCTCAATCTTTTTGCTCTTATACAACTTAAAGAATTTTTCAGTGGACATCTAGAATTTTTAACTTAACTTTGAATTAAATACATGTAATTCAGGTCCAATGATATGGTTACAACTCTCGGGAATTAGAACTCAGAAAGCAGACACTTTTAACAATTACTTCAGACATCGATAAAAGAATAAGTCCAACAAGAAAATAAATTCTGCGATAGGCTTACCCGAATATTTATTATTCCTTCGGCAAACACCAATTTACACATGTAAGTAACAGAATGAATGTCAAAGTTGTTGCTGCATTTAGTAATGGGGCAAAAAGTTCTGGTGAAAAAACTGAAGTTATTCCATGCCAGATAAATAAGTGTAAGGTGATGTAGTGCACAGTCTGCACTTATTCCCATCTTGGTCTTACAGTGAAGGGCATCTTTAAAGAGAAGACTGGAAAAAATAAAGAAAAATACAGGTAAAATGGAACTTTATCACAAAATACGGTTATTTTGTTTCCTCTTTCTGTTTATCCTTATTTATTCTTAAACAAAGTGCTTTAAAGGCCACCGTAGAAACTATTTCTCGATACCGCGATAACAGAGACTCCACCTCCCCTTGTATACAGTGTGTAGACAGATATTCTGAGCTATCTTAAAGGAAAATAAATTGAACCACCAAAAAAATCTTAGGAATCAAGTTTATGAGTAAGAGTTAAATGTAAATAACAGCAAGGTACATGAACAATGTAATTTAGGAAGGTGAGCGAACAATCTGTACACGTACATGTATTTCAATCGGGAAATGTGATACTCTATACATGTACCACGACTACTGCAATAATCACAGTGCTCATTGCCATTAGCACCCTGTTCCTATGATACGGAAATTGAAGTCCACTTTTTCAAACTAACTGACATTCAGACCTTGAGGATCCATTCCTTAATCCTACTAGCTCTAGTTTTGGTAAATTTTAACCATTGTGAAACTGAATTTCATAAAACAACCGTATGGTTCTAGGTCAAGGAACCAGACTACATGCTTGAATTCATCTTCATTCACAGCTCTTCGTCACGTCATTTTACGCTACCATTTTACCCCATAATTTCCCTTAAAACCATTTAAAAAAGAAAAAGAAAAGAAAAGAAAAAAGGGAAGGGCTTTGAAAGCTCTCCCCTCTTTTCTTTCTGATATGAAAGAGGACATCACCGCCAACTTATTTAGGTAAGTTATTTCGAAAATATAGACTTTGTGTCCTTATTATAGGAACCGGGTGCTAATGGCATGAATCACTGTGATTGTATGAATGGTAATGAATGCCATAATTAGGCCTACTACAAAATACATGTACTAAACATGCTATTGGCATTGCTAGAGAAAGTGCACGAATTTTTAACCGGGAGGAGAATTTGACCAACTGCATTCAAAAACTACACAGCTGGTTGAATTTCTGGCTTTTCTTATGTGGTACAAATACCCCTGCCTTTACCCTATCACTGTTGGAGTAACCCATCCTACAAGTACATGTACAATGCCTAGGTTAAGTGCTGGGCTAGGCTGGGCAAGGACATCCGGCCTACCTCAGAAAAAGTGCAACTGCCTACCCGTACGTACTCGAGATACATGTATATATGCAGCCATACGAATGAAGCCAAACCACGATGGTTGTGTTCGTATTGCGCATGCCCAATGTGTATTATTAGACTTGCGTTGCAGCCGTTCATCATTATATCAACAGTAAAAACACCGTCAATTTGTGTGAACTGCGGTAGTCAAGCGGTTACGGCATAATGGTTTGTGATGCGTGGGCTGTGGGTTCAAATCATGGGTCGGAATTGTGGGGAGGGAGGTTTTTTTTTCAAGGAAAATAAAGCCCGAATGTTATTGGAGCCTAATTTCACACGTGAAGTTTTTATGGTTGGTTGAGCATCTAGATGTCATGCATTGTGCATGGTTGTGAACCGTGGTTTGGCTTCATACGTGTGACTGCCATGGAGAAATAATACTACTAGCTCCGTACTCCGTAGGCCTACCCGTCCGCAATTCACAATGGGGTGTGACCTTTAGTTTTAACATCCATTGTCAGTGGATTTTTCCCAAATATTAAAGGCTGTTTTATACGTTTAAGATCTTACCAAAACATGCAGAAGATAATGCACTTCATTCCAAGATTCTGCCACAATGTAAAAGTAATCACAAACTAGGCTACAGCCCTGCTAAACTTAGCATCCAGTTCCGTTCTTCGTACTGACTGAGAGCTGCCATATTGATTGTTCGAGGTAAGAAAATTCTTTACTCCAGTCATTTCTAACGGTACAAACCGATGACGTAACACATTTGTGTGTATTTATGTCGTGCAGGTAAACCTAGCAACGAGTGCCGTACCGAGCATGCATGTAAGTTTTGTACGTGTGGACGAAGACTGACTGGGAGAGCGGTGAGCTGAGATCGCCCGTCAGAAAATTCATGTTAAAACCATTTCATCTGTCCGTTTTGCATGAATTCACGTTGTTCATCGTTACATTGAGGCAGATATTCCCATTTCATCACCTTTTTGTTGTTGAATATTGTCGAATTTTGTGAAATATTTGGCATGTCAACTAATGCAGAGCAAGCTCCCGTCGAGGAGCAGAAAAACAACGCAGTCGGGACGCCGAGTAAGCCCGGAACCCCGGCAGGATCTGTCGTATCGGCCACCACACCGCCGCCAGACATGGCTCTCAATCTGAACCCCAAGGAGCAGGAGTTCACCAACGCCAAGGCATATCTCTTGAAAGCAAGCACAAAGTCAAATTTAAATTTGTACGTAATTATCTGGGCCTATTTGCCTGTGTTAATCAGTGTTGAAAAATTGTCACCATGATCACCTAATTACTAGCCTAAGCCCTACCTGCATGACTAGGCCCAGGCCTACTATTTTTTGTGATAATCCATTGGTCAGTGTCGGTGTTTGTCTTGCACTGAACATGTCTCTGTAGGCCAAGGCCTATTTGATTTGAAAGTGTACACGTACATATATGTGTTTGTATTGGGTTCAGTCAGCTGATCAGCAAGATCACTTGATCTGTGCGATCGCTCAGTCTTATTGCACAATTTGTTGGCGATTCCATCTTCATTCAACGTATCACCTTTCTTTATAATTTTTAAGCCAAACTTACGTGTAGGCCTTAGTCATGCTAGTAGTGGAAGATTGTTTCAAAAAAATGTTGAGATAGACCCTCAAAATGTATTAAAACTAGGATCGACCAATCGCACAACACAGTTTGACGATTGTTACGATCAACTAATGGCACCCAACATTTGTATTTTAGAGGCCCTACATGTACATGTATTGACCCTAGCCTGCCTCAGTACTGCAAAATCCTTTGCGTGGTTTTGGAGGATTTTGGAGGACTGAGGGAAAAAGGCATTTTTAAAGTTGGAAGATTTTGAGGATTGAGGAAGGTGCCCAGCAGAAAGGTCCTAGGGGGTTAGGGTTAAGTGTGAAGTAAATTTGATTTGCCCCTATCTAGAAGTCAAAGCTTAGGCCATGAGAACAAACATCCCCGATTTCCGTCGGGACAATTATGGAAACCCATGAGGCTTTTTTTCATTATTCATTCTTAGTTGGTGTGCATACCGCACATTGAAAGCGAGTATGCGTCCATGCAAAGGGAACCAACCTTGAAAGTAGACAAGCTCTCAGTCCGTCTTGCATCATGCCATATTAACCATTCCCAACGGCAAAAAAACAAGTTTTCTGAAATAACTTTTTGGAAAATAATGAAATTTTTGGCGACTGTTTCGGCGGTATGTGGGTGGTAGACAAAAAAATCTGGAATATTCATTCTCATGGCCTTACCTTTTATTAAAGACAAGGATATAATTTTTGCATGCAGTGAAACACTATGGGAATACAGTAACACAGAAAGCTCTCAAGATTTGAGTCTTTGTGTGGCTAACTTAACAGATTCATTCAGGCCTAAGCTGGTTTGGGAGAGGGTACTCAACCAAATTTAGTTCAGGTTCAGAAAGTTTTTCAGTGGAGCTGTTTTACATTTAATAAGACTTCAACCTCTTTTCCAGGCTATTCAGAAGCCAATGGAATTTGTCAGTTTGTTGTGGGAGCTTACCCACCTGTATGTTTACCCAGAGGGCATTTGGGTTGTTGCTTTTTAAATTAGAAAATGCTGGAGGCACATTTTATGGTGAAGTTTTGTTTTTTAAGATTTGCAGAAGAACAGATATTTCATTTAATCTTAAGATTTGCATCATTTCCTTGACTAAAGTTGCTGGGATACTTTGATCAGATGATTGAAATTAATTGCCTTTATCCACTAGATCCAGTGCATTGGTTTACCCCTTACACAGTCTTAGCACGGTTTTCTAGAAGAGGATTCCTCAGTCAGTAGGATGGTTTTACCCAGTGTATGCTTCCAGTTTTTAAGTAGAAAGCAACCAGTAATCCAGCAAAATGATAAGACGGGCAAACTTTTTTCATTTCAGTTATACATGTGTACATTTTGTCTTTTAATGCGTTCCATTCATGGTACCGATTTTTTGTTTGATGAGAGAAATTATTGGATTGAATTTTCCCCAGTATTTATCAGAGGTGGTAAGGAACGTTACAGGAACCCATTACAGGAACAGTTACTGTAGGATGTTACATCAAGAAAAGGTTTTTCTTATGGACTGATTGTGTGTGGTGACATTTTTTGTTCATATTGCGATGAACGTAGTCTTTGAGAAGTCTAAGGGTGACTACATCATGTGGGTCAAAATGTCAAGCTCCCACTCACAGGTTCTTCTCAGAACCACCACTCTATGGAGAGGTTGATTTGCCCATGGTGTATCCACAAACTTCTCTCAGTCTAAGGCTGCATCCGAATCTCTTGTCTAGAGCTAGGTCTAGGTCTTCACTCCATTAGAAATGCATGGAGACGCGTAGACAATAGGCCTAGCCGTACATGTAGCTCTGGAAGCCCGTTTCGGACATGGCCTAGCCTTCACCGTGCAACATTTCAAATCTACTTAACAAGTTCAGTGCTAGTTTTCATTTATAAGATACTAGTGTTGATATATACAGAACATGTACACAATAATGCATTGGGCTGTGCATTGGAATATTGGTAGCTGAGTACCCAACTGTTCTTGTCAGTAAAAGTGCTTTAATTTATGGAGCTTGGTGCCCTTGACTAACATTCATAATTACTAAATGACCTCACAGTAACAAAGAATTTAAAGCTTGTCGAGAAATGTTTGACCCCCCAAAAATTATCACACATGTACTACATGCATTTTCATTCATCAGTTAAGCATCAGTGACACTGACATATGGACAGCAGTGATTTTTTTTAATAACCGACAGTTATCAAGGAGAGTTGTTGTAAAGCTAAAATGGAATTTAAGTTTTATATTGGAATTTTGAAATGAGTTCTTAATACAGATACTGTACCTGAGTATCCACTTTTCATTTTATCTGAGTACCCAGTATCCACACTGCACACCCCTATTCAACAACATGACATGTAATATTTTCTTTTACTTTAAAATAGATTTGAAATTTAATATGAGGAAACTGTAACAAAGTCTGGTCATCCCTGCATGAACTTTGTTTTGTTCTGTTATTAATTTGATGTGGTATATGTTTTCTCCTTTAAAGGTATGATCACCTGAGTCGTGTGCTTACAAAAGTTCTTGATGAGAGACCAGAAAATGTTGTAGGTAAGCAATGTCAGAGACTAGTCGTAAATGAAAATTTGACATTGCCAGTTTTCATATCTGCGGCAAATATTTTTGTACTGTTGTGTGTGTGTGTGCTCATAATTTCTTTTGAATTTCTAATGTGTCATTTCCAGTGCAATCCTTTTCTGAAGCTGCTTGAATTGAAATAGTAGAACTTTTAGGAGTTGCTTTTGACAACTGATGGTCAAACCAATTTATTTTCTGTCAAAAGACGTCTTTGAAGACATCAGCAAGGATGTCAAGAGGTCCAAGTTCACGTCCAAAGTGGATACTATTCTGGACAAGGTTGACCATTCTACGGCTGTGCAGCTGGCCGAGTCACAGAGGGCGCTGTTTGAGGTGAGCATTTGTCTAACACTCGACGAAACATAAACCTAGCACCTACAGGGGCCACTTTGTTGCAGTACACCGAGTGCTAGGGATGTTTGGGAAGGTCTCAACATTAACCCTAACACTCCTCAATCCTTCACCTGTTGGAGGACTGAGGACTGTTAGGGTTAATGCCAAAGTATTAAACTTGGAGAGTGGCTTGGACAGTTTTGCTCCTTCATGTAATTGTTGTTTGCGTTAGTCAATTGGTCTTACAAAACTTGTGCAAAATTATGATTGCTATACAAGACATCCCGGTTTTTTCTCCCAAGCGTCCCTTGTTGTCAAAATTTAATTGTGCAGTTAGGACATTCACTCTTAATAAAACAACTCATCCAAATGGTCAGGAAATAATTAAGTGCCCATCACGTTTCCATCTGGAGTCAAATCACAAGTTGGTCTCATGTTAGAGCAGGAGAATAGGTAAGAGTGGATCAAGAGTAAAAAGGAAAATGCCTTTGAAACACTGCATTTGAATAGCTTCAAACATGACTTGAGACTTGATGAGGACTTGTTATCGACTTGTGACGGACCTGCAGTGTAGTTGAGCCAATTGTGAATCCCTGCAAATCCGTCACAAGTCTTCAGCCAAGTCGCAAGCTGTTCAACGGTGGCATTCCTCTGTCAATATTCAATCTGTTACTTAATATGACTGGTTTTGTGAAAAGAATTGCGACTGGGCTTGTGAAATGACATGTGAAAGTACTTGTGAGGGCTTGACTACAATACTGAAACTGGTGGGAAATATGCTGTATGGGCCTTGAGCTGGACCAAGAGAGGGCGCTGTTTTCTCAGTAATCATGGTAATGGAGGCTCCTTTGGTTAGAACTGAACTTCGCTGGTTCATGAGTGACTAGGAAATGCACACGTCATGGTCGAGTCACTACATGTACCAACAAATCAAATACTTCTGACCAACGCAGCTCTTTTCAGTCAATGAAGGGGTGCTTCTGCTCTAGGAGGATTATAAGTGGGTCATCATGAGGCTTGGAACTCAATGTTAAACAAAGTGTCTATATACATGTACATGGAGAGCCCTCTATCTGGGACCAGCCAGCCCTCTGAAACCATCAACTTTTGTTTCCTATTTCCAGAAAAATCAAGACGAAGCGGAGCATGAAGCAGGTGGCGAAGAGGAAGTTGATACTCCGTTGCCCAACCTACCTGAGCTCATGTATTACTTTGAGCAAGCTGGGGTGAGTATAGACACAACTACCGCGAGTCACAACCTCTCCTCAACACACTCCTCAACCACCTTTCCGTACATTCGTTTGAATCTTTTGGTGCTTCTTATATTTTGGCTTACATCCATTTCAACTATAAGCACCCTCTTATAGTCAAAGAAAAGACAGGACCGTGACAATCACTTCATCCAGGTTCACGGTACACACTTGCAGACGGTACATTGTGACAAATTGGTACAACCTACACTGGTCATGCATGCCTATTGAATAAAATTGTCAAAAAGGTTTGGTAATTTGCTGTCATAAATGTTGTTTACTTTGAAGAAACGTGGCTGTTTTGGTTCATGGCAATGGGCCAGTGTACAAAGTATTGCTCATATGAGCAAATGTTTGATTAACACTTTGAATGAAAACCCCTAAAATGAAGTTCATGTCTTCCAGTAATAGGATCTCGCTGCACTAGTGTCCCATTTATCAGAAAAGCATGGAAAATTTTTAAAGTTTAAAAAAGTGCACTTTTCAACAATATTTGCCCAAAGATTACACATGTATAGATGAACTACAGTTAAGGAGCAGAAAGTTGCACAGAAATCATTTCCGTGTAAATTTGTATTAAGTACCCTTAAATACAGTACAATAACTTATTCAACAACTCATTATTTTCCAAAAGTAGGTACTGTGAAACAGAACCATTTTAGTGTGCAGGTTTTATTTCTAAAAACAAATCTCATGCCTGACAAAACAGCTTAGAATTTAATGCCATATTATCTTCTTTGAGCAAAGTACAATTTCTGACAATTATTCTGTTGGTTTTTTTTTGATAGCTGCATTCAAGAAAGATATTTGCATAGTTCTAGAAAATATTTGTGCCTTGTCATTTGATCACTGTGTTGCTCTTCCATCTTCCCATGTTCTATCATAGATTGGCATCAGTCGCGAGGAGACAATGAGAATCTTCCTGGCCCTGAAGCACCTGGTGGACAACTACCCCCTGCAGACCTGTCGCTTCTGGGGCAAGCTCTTTGGCACAGAGAAGAACTACATCGTGGCTGAGGTGGAGTACCGGGAAGGCGAGGAAGAAGAGGAAGAGGAGGAGGAGGTAATCATTGCTTTAGGGAGCCCGATGGGCCACCCACCACAGGTTGGCTAGTCTGGAGTCCAGTAGCAACAACCCGTCCACAACATTCATCCCACAAGGAAGGTTGTAACACCTAACCTAACCCACAGATGCTGCGTCTTGATTGACTGAGAACTAGTCCTGGCATTTGTTGGTTGTTGTTCTCTAATTACTGTGCATGGCCAAAAAGAACTGTACATGTGACAACCACAGCACAGTACCATATAGCAGCCAAAGGCTATAAACATTGCAACTGGCATTCTGTACAAGTGCATATGCCCAAGAGCTAGATTCAGACATTTTGTTTAAAAGTGCTAGTGATTTTCACGTGATTTTTATCCAGATATATAGCTGTACATTTTAATTGTATCGAATGTGGCTCTGGTGACAACTCACCTGCATTATAGTGTGGCCTGAAATATTTAGTAAACCAGCTGTAGGTGCCTGAAACATAGAATTGGAAGAACTGAATGTAATTACAATCTAATTAAGTCCACTTGTTAAGCCCTAGAAATGTTCATGCAAGCAGACGTATAAGACCTGATCACATAGGATGAGTCCAACTTAAACACATCATAAATTTGTTTTTCCTATGCAAGGCTTTGCCTAGATAAGCCTAGACTATATCCGGGCAAAAAATGTTCCCAGTTTGATTACCGTCAGCCAAGATTTGTTGGAATTAGTTCTGTCAACTTGTTGTTTATTTAGTCAGTCTGGGATCAGGTAAAGTGCACCTTAATTTGTCCCCTGAATACACCTGTCACTGCGGAATCTTCTTTTCACCAGGAACATGAGGCGGAGGAACAAGAGACGGAAAAGGACGATGAAGAAGGTGAAGGAGGTATGTGGAATGGATCAAACTAGCTCTATAGGACTGCATAGACAATTGGTTATGTACTTCAGGTTCAGAGCAGGACATACAGGTAGCTTTTAGCAGAATAATTTATGGGGAAGAAATTTGTTTTTTTTTTTAATTTAGAACATATGTTTCACAGTCTTGAACTACATTTGGAGGGATTTACAGAAATTGCCCTTAATGTTCAACTTTTTGCAAGTTGGCAGTTGAGACACCTCTACTTTCTCCTACTCTGAACAGAGGAACAAGAAGAGGACGATACCCCAAAGCCAGATTACAAACCTCCACCAGTTATCCCCAGGGAGGAGAATCGAACCGGCACCAACAAGAAGACATACTTTGTTTGCAACGAACGTAAGTTGGCCTTTTTTGGTTTCCTCTTTTGGACCCAACTCGATTCTCCAAGTCATTTATAACGTGGAGGAAAATGAATTACTCTACATACTGAGAGCATGTCACTTTTTGAGGTAGCTTAAATAATGATTAGCATCTGTAAACACTATTAGAATTTCACAGAGAACAATGCATAAATGTCGTCAACTCTGAGCCTCTCGGTGTGTGAAACGTTCCTTAATTGCCTCTCAGAATGATCCATTTAGAACTGGACAAACCCTGATGAAACAGGTTGTTGTACGGCATTTAATGGGCTTGAGTGGGTTGTTTCAGACCAAGCATGAATTGGGAAACACATGGGAATTATACCGTGCCCCAGCTTAGAACAACTGTAGTTCCAAGGGCAGATCCAGGTTGACTAAAACATACAGAAATACAGTGGAAGATGCAAGCTCATATATATGCTGCCCCCTTCTGTATTTTAATGAACCTATATCGGCCATGGCATAATTTTTAATAATTCCCAGAGCCTCACAGCACTCCAGTTGTTCTGAGAGCTCAAAATTAGTTAGCAAACTTTAATTAGACGGAAGATATTTTTAGTTCCCAAAGTAATAGTAAAATCAGAAATATGTCTCCGAGCAGGTTTATGAAGTATTTGCATTTACCTCTATACAAAAAAGTTTCTTTGAAACGTGAAATATTTTGAATTCATTTTGCCTTTGCATATAGCCGGCCAGCCATGGGTGAAGCTGCCTCCTGTCACACCGGCCCAAATAGCTGGGGCCAGACAGATCAAAAAGTTCCTGACTGGAAGGCTTGATGCTCCGGTAAGTGTACTTGATCTTCCAGTATCAGTGCCATGTCCTACTGTCACAAAACTCAATTTATGATGTATCCACAGGGCTTAAGCAAATTGAATCATTCCACTGGACATTATGAGGCCGGTTCACAATCAAAGCAAATGTCAAAGTTAATTCTGAGGTCATGAAACATTTTGTAGCGAGATGTGCCGAGTTGAAATTTTACGACTTTTGCGTATTCGCTGTGCAGATATCTGATCTAACATCAAAAGGTCACTTTCCTGTTCGCTTTGGCGCCAAGTATGAACCAGCCTTTGTACAGCACAGCTGTTCCTAGGGAAAGCTTGTAGACACTAGCCCTAACCCAAATACTGCAAGTAACACTATAAACCACTATAGTCTGTTCACTCCCATTCAACACTAAATTTGAAGAGGAATTGAAAAGGCAAATAAATAAATGAGAAAGCAAAGAAAACTGTGTAGGGAATCAAAAAGAAACAATAAAGCAATCAACTAGTCCCCATAAGTAGCCAAGGGCTGTCAAATTTCAGTTAGTGAAGAAAAATATTTCAGAGTCTGCCTGTCAACTCTCTCATGAATCGTCAAAGAGTCTTTCCACTGACAGTGACAGTGCTCAAGCTAGTAATCTCAAAGTGCCCATTTTTCTTTCCCAGTTACCCTAAATGGAGCCTCTCTTCATTCTTTCATCAGATTGTGAGCTACCCTCCATTCCAAGGCACCGAGGCCAACTATCTGCGTTCTCAGATCGCTCGCATCTCGGCCGGCACTCAGATCAGCCCCTTGGGTTTCTTCCAGTTTGATGAAGAGGAGGAAGAAGAGGAGGAAGAGACGGGTAAGCCTCGTCGTTGTTTCTTGTTTCACCGTCTGGCTCACACTTGGAGGTTCTCTTTGACTAAAGGCCGCATCCGAAGGACTTGGCCGTGACTTGAAATTAAACACAATTCCGTGGGCAGTGGTTGCAGTCATTATCAAGGACTCATTATCGAATGTTAAAGTCATTCTATTGCTATTCTTGTCGAGTTCTTTTCACCTAGTGTGATAGTAATGCTTTATAAAGCCGAGGCTACGCAGAAAAACTTCGTACAAAAAAAAGTTTCTGGAACACAGTGTAAATAGTGGATGCACATAGCTACGCATACTGTAGCTCCTTCTTTCACAATTATATCATTCTTCATGTGAGTTTTAATTGTTGTTTTCTCTTGATAGCCCGTGAATCCTACATTGAGAATCCTGATTTTGAAGGCATCCCTGTCAAGGATCTTGTCGACCCTTCTCTCTCAAACTGGGTGCACCATGTCCAGCACATTCTACCCCAGGTAATTTACCAGAAAATTGCTCCTTATGCGACAGACCTATTGAAAAATGGCATCACTGCACTTAAATAGATGTATCAGTTATACAAGAAGATTCAATTCCTGCTTTAATAGTTCATGAATTTCTCAGGTGTTATTTTCTCAAAGCAGGCCTGTGAAATTGGCAGCCCCAGATAATGAGTAAATAGGGACATATTCGTAAGCATATTTTGATAAACCTCCCCACCGTCTTTTTTTTTCTTTCCCTTGCAGGGTCGATGCACATGGTTTAACCCCGTCCAGCAACAAGAGGATGACTTTGAAGATGAAGAGGACGAGGAGGAGAGAGAGGAGCCAGATGAGCCCGAGCCGGAGGTGGGGCCTCCGCTCCTGACGCCCATCTCCGAAGACGTTGGTGAGTGAAGGCCATGTCCAATCTACTTATGTGGGCTTAGGCCGGGAACCGGAAAAAACCACTTTGAAACAGACACAGCTGACGTCGGCCTGTCAGAACTTGGCTTGGAAACTGAGTAGTTACCCCTGTGTGAATGAGACTAGACTCACCTGCTTAGTGGCATCCTTGTCAGCTTGCACAAAGTGTGCACGGATCTGTTCACATGCATATGGCAAAGAGTACAGTTGAGCAACTGTGAGCATGTGACAATGCTACTTTTCCTGTTGTGTAATCATGAGGACCTAATTCTTCATTATACATGCCTGCCCATCCATTGCCTATGTTGAACTCCTAGAATTTACTGGAGATTCACCGTAGACCCCTATTAAGACCATCACAAGACCCTACAAGACCCTCACAGAACCAGTACAAGAACCCCGTCAGCATTCAAGTCACAGGCTATTCAAATGTACTGCAACAACAGCATTTGTCATTCACCCTGGTGACTGGTCTTGTGTCTGGTCTTATGATGTGAAGGGTTGGAGTGTTCATGTCCCCAAGTCAACAAGACTACTTTTTCACTGTGTTATAAATTTCTCTTTTGATTTTTGAATATTGCTGGAGAATGGCCAAGCAATGAATTTTTCGTCCTGATTTTATGCATGCTTTTCCGTGAAAAAAAAAATCAGTGAGGAAAATATGTTCTGACAATTGTCTACCATCTGCGATTTTTGCAGAAATCGAGAACATCCCACCTTGGAGTGCCCGTCTGTCCTCCAGCCTTGTGCCACAATATGCCATTGCCGTCATCCAGTCAAACCTCTGGCCTGGGGCATTCGCATTCGGGACAGACAAGTAAGTTAAGCCCAGATCCCGTTGTCAATGAAGGTTTTCTTTTCATTGCCTTTGTTCAAAGGCCTAGCACGATGAAGTATTCTGGTTTGGGTCTCCAAACTACTTCTTTTGGGAACTCTCTTCCTGTATCCTGCTCTTGTCTCTTTCCCGCTCTCCTTGGCTCTTCTATGTCATCAGTTGCACCAGCAAGTCATGTGTCATTCCTGTGCCATTGTGCCTAATGTGTCTCATGCACAAAATCTATGTGCGGTATGTCACCTTATTGTGTTGGAAATTTATCATAAACATATCACTTGAGAGGGCAACCAACAACCTGTTGTCCAATGGAGCTGTGACCGTTTGGGACCAATGAATTTTAATGAAAAGAGTATGATTAAAGGACAACTTATACTTGCCATGAAAGCAAACACATAATTGCGACATAAAGATCAAAGATTTAAGCTGCGATCACGCCATAGTTGGACACATTTCAACTTAATTAAGTTTTGCCACAGGTGTTTTGTGACATGAACACTTCCCTGTTTGCTTGAAGTGTGAACTGACCTTTGGCTTGCATGGTAAACTTTGCTTTTAAGCACTTGCCGGCGGTATTATTCCTCATTACAAAAATCACAGTATTATTTTTGGCGGAAAATACGATTTTTAACAAGATACCACAACCTCAGCCCCTTAGAGAGTTGTATTTAACAAATGCCGACTCTTGATGGTCGTTTGTTCAAGATTTGAGCAATATTTGTTACAGTGCCCATCCATGCCCCACAGCTGCTTCAGGGTGATGCATATGCTAAAGCTCTGTGGATTATTTCAAACCTGTGTGTGTGTACAAACTCCATGGGAATCACTCAAGCATATTTTGGTTATCTCTACCTCTGCAGGAAATTTGAGAATGTGTACCTGGGCTGGGGCCACAAGTACTCCCCAGAGAACTACAGCCCTCCACCTCCCCCGCCAGTGCAAGAGGAGTTCCCCAGTGGGCCGGAGATCACTGAGGCCGAAGACCCCAGCCCGGAGGAGGAGGCAGCGCTGAGAGCAGCCCAACAGGAGGCCATGGAGCAAGCTGAAGAGATGGAGGATGTGGACGAGGACGAAGACGAAGATGACTAGGAAGGAGACAGAGGAAGGTTGGGGGGTCAACCTGGGGAGGTAAAGGACCAGGGGTATTTATGACTGGGGTCTAGTGGCTGAGGAATTCCAGGGGTCAGTTTTCAAGTATCAGATTTGATTTGGACATTAACTCCTGACTTTAACATCATGAAGTTCAGGGAAGAATGCAGAATGAACAAGGTTTAGCCTGAGGTTTGACCCTAAGTACTCAACAAAATCGTGTTGAACCTCGAGGTAAACCTTGTGCATCCTTCTGTTTGCTACTCTTGAGATGGAAGATAACCCTGTTGATCATTGCAGCTCTGAGCCATTGTCTCATGTGGGACCAGAGTGGCTTTCAGTGTTTCAGACATTTATGAAGGGCTGAAACTGATTGGGGAGATCAAGTTAGAGCTGATGAGGGAGAAGAGGCAAACAGGACGAGAGGAGCTTCCTCACGGTCAGGTTAATGGCTTGGGATTTTAAACAGGGTGGGTCTTCATGTAGAGGAAAATGCAGTCAAGACATAGATTGGTGGGGTATGTTGACCGTGTCTGGGAAAGACTTTAATATGTGGCATATAGACAGGCCACTCTTGATCGTCACTCTGGGCTTGACTGAAGTAGATGGGGGTGTTATTAGCAAAGATATTTCATGAGAGCATTGTGGAGCTTGTACACGTCATCCGTTCTGGGCACAAATGGCAAAAGAAATGTGAATGTTCAAAAGTTTGGACAAATTTGCTCTCCAAGGTAATATTGTTTATTGAGAAAAAATGTTCCAAGGAGATTCAGTCAGCCTGTACAAGGCTATCTGTCAAGTATAAATGTGGGTTTAATACCATTCAACCTGTAGATGCCATGGCAAAAGAAAGCTGTCCGTCCACTGATAAATGTACATAACATGGTTGTGTATAAAATGAAATATATATGATTCTGTTTGAATGATTGCCTTCCATGCATATTGCATAGTCCATTTCCGCACCAAACGTGCATTTCATTGTTTCTAGCTTGGGTTTCCATCCGTCCAGCTATTACCCACCTAGAATTTTACTTTTGCAATTCAGGTCTGTATAGTTTTCAGCATTTAGAAGCAATTGTTTGGTATTGTCTAACTGCCTTAAGAAATGCTTTGTACATTGTAAATTTGATCTGAAACCACCAGTTACATTCTAATGTTGTGTTATGCTTTAATTTTTGAAGGAAGAGTTAATAAATTGTGATATAGCTTTGTAACACTGGATGTCCCTTTCCAGCCTACAATAACGTGTTCCTAGAGTGGAAGTTATTATCTTCTATAAGATGGACTGCCCACACTGACTCCTCATTCCGAGAACTGGTGGTCACTGTGTATCCTGCCACCTGTTCCAAATTCTGGTCTTTAAAATATCAAAGTATGTATTTCCCTCGGCCTAAAGACCTTGAGTACATTCCTTTCTCTCAATGAGATGAGAGTCCACTTTAGGTTAATACTCCGAGCGAGTACCACAGCTTTTGATGTCCCTTAATAAACCTCCCGCCAATGATACTTTCTGAGTATGGTCATCTGCATTTGCTACCTTCTCATTTTAGGTGTCACTATCTGGGCCACTGAGCGACCTCTCCAACTCATGATCCACTCGGTAAAATGTAAAGGGTTGCGAATGTCAGGAACCCAGTGTGTCCCGGCATGTCCTTCCAGGGGACAGCACACTTGGTGGGGTAGGACTGACTTGCCCCCTTCTTGTCCTGTGTTGCCCCCTCGGACAGCCTGGGTCTCTTCGCTCGAGACTCCCCACCATTGCAATCGCTCTCCTGGTCCGTCTCGCCCTGTCTGTTAAGGGGTAGGGCAGCCTCAGGGGTGGACGTTCTGCAGGCAGCATCTGTGTCTCGTTCACCTTGTCCACCGTCCATTGATGTCCCCACTGCTACGTTGTCTTGTGGCGGGCAGCCGTCATCGACATTTGGACCGGTCTGCTTGAAACCATCCCCTGTGGTGTTTTTGCCCAGGTTTGGGTAAGGCAGAGTAACAGTGCGATGCTCAAAGTTTCGCTGGAGACACTCCAAGGTGGAGATGTCACTGAACCCCAGGCTGCGCAGTTCCTCGCAGGTTCGCTGCACCTGCTCAATGCAGGGTGAGAAGGAACATATCTTGCCTCCTGGAGAGAGAAACACACAAAAGAATGACTAGGTGCATTATTTAGGATTTTTTGTAGGGGTAGGGTAATCATCCTATTTATTACCAATCACTAAAACAGCTTGACTAATCATTATACGATGAGCGATCACAATGACCACTAACAGGAATAGCCCTACCAAACATGCAAGTGTGTATTTGCCTGCAACTTGGGACCTTGTTGTTCTTCTTTTGTTGTACTTTCACTTTTGCTTTTTGTTGAAGTCTTTTTTTATACACAACTGTCAATCAGGGACACTTGATAATTCGGGGGCCTAACTGTCCTCTATTATTCATGGTCACAGCTTTGCTGGTGAGGCATAGAAACCACTGACGTAAAAAAATTGGCAGCTGAGGATGCCAGGGTAAGACCAAAAAGTCTTTACAGCCAGAACGATACACTACCAGAGAAGGAAGAAATAAAAATTGTAAAAGTTAAAAATGCTCAACATCAAGTGAGATTAATACTGTCTCAAGCATTATCACATATGATGTGGTTTTGAAGATGGCTTTGCCAAATTTGGAATTTCGGGATTGTTCTCGGGAAAGTCCACAGAATATTCCACAGGACTGTTTAATCATTTTCGAGTACATGTGCCCTGTGGAGGAGTATTCCTCGGAACAGTCCCCTCTACAGTGCATGTAACGTATGTAAGTATGTGACACTTCTGCTACAGAGAAGTGGGATGCAGTGTCCGAGTACCTTATTTAACACCTGCTGCTTTTAGACGCACACTTTTTTTTTTCATTTTACTCGCATTGAACCATACCTGCACTCGAGACGACCACAAATGCACACATGCAGTGTAGATTCATACATTCGTGCTTACTTACAAGAGACAGAGGATCTCCAGTCACAGGAGTTTTTACTTTCAGCGTTCAATTCAAAGAGATGAACGCCGAAGCACGCACGCCTTCCAAGTCTCTCAACATTCTGCCTTACATGAAATTGCCAAAAGAAATACACAGAGTCGAAAATGCACGTGCCTCCACAGACATGCTATGCTTCCTGAAAGCCTTTGCCATGTCACATGAAAAACCTCTATAATTCTACTTTGGTAACATTTTGTTTAGAGATTAGACCGGGGCACAGACCCAATTACAGATGTTCCGTTGTGGACTGTTCCCATTCTCTATGCAACATGCCAACAGCCACATACACCCTGCAGAACAGTCCCACAGACCATCCAGTGGAATGGTCAAGAGCTATTTATAGAGAGCAGCGCCAACTTTGGACTTTGGAACCGAAATGGCTGTCCGTTGTGTGAGCATGCAGCTATTGTGTGCTAACTGTCACGGACGCATTATCCACCATTTTGGTTCCAACAATTGTGACACTCATGCTGCAATTCTCTCTATAAAGAGCTCTGGAATGTTCCACTGGAACATTCCCATTTCAACGTCGGAGATGCTCCCTCAGACCTACCACTCCTTTTTAGGATCTTCTTAGCATGAGACAAAGCGCGCCACGGACACGGCAGATCCAAAAATACGGCGTCAACGGTGAAGTCGATTCCAAAGCCTTGCTGTTGAAAGGAGAAGAACATGGACTGTAAGATTTAGTGCCTGTCTTCAACGTTAAACTGGTCGGGCGTTTGACGGCTTCACTCAAAGTATGCCTTCCAACAGAAGCTACAACACAATATATTAAGATTAGGTATTGTAAGACCAGTCACAAGACCAGACACAAGATCAGACACAAGACCAGTCACAAGACCAGACAGAAGATCAGTCACAAGAGCAGACACAAGACCAGTCACAAGACCAGACAGAAGATCAGTCACAAGACCAGACACAAGACCAGACAGCAGATCAGTCACAAGACCAGTCACAAGACCAGACACAAGACCAGACACAAGACCAGTCACAAGACCAGACAAAAGACCAGTCACATGTAACAGGGTGAACAATGACAAAGGAATGCTTTTGTTGCAATTCATTTGAATAGCTCATGACCTGAATTCAGACTGAAGGTCCTGTGATGATCTCGTGCGTCTAGTGATGGTCTTACGAGGTCTTGATTACAGCATTGTACAGATGGACTGCCGGACTGAGATTTCATCCACTTGTCACCATAAACACGTTTTTACTTATTTCATTCCCGAAAATTGGTCACAAGCATTAATAGGCATCATCCACACCAAGCTTTTCGTTTTTGTCTTTTTGTAAAAACATGAATACTTGTTTCTGCTTTGGTGGGAATTCAAATGGGACATTGAATTTTGGAATGGTGAATTTGTTGAATGGACTCAGCCTTAGCTCATACCAACACTATAAAAACAATGGACAAGCGCACTGTACCTCCAAGACGTCACGGTGAGCTACGGTGACCAGGTGTGAGATGCCATGCTCCTCAAAGTCCTCTCTGGCCTTCTGGGCTCTCTGCTCATGGAACTCGAATGTGTGCAGGTGGCCGCTTGGTGCTATAGTCCTAGCGAAGGCGTGGGAGACCGAGCCACTTCCAGTGCCTGTGCGGGATGACAGATTGTTAGTTTGTAAGAAGAGCAAATCTAAAGGGTATATGTCAGTCATAAGTCGACGCAAGTCAGTCCCGAGTCATTCAGTCCTCCTATAACTCAGAGGCTGTTATGGAAGAAGTGGGTGTTAACAAAAACCCATCACTTGAAACCTTGGAGAGAGTGACCTTATTAACTCTCCCTCAATGGTGCTCGGTACCCTGTGAAGGTACAAAGACTAATGTGGTATAGGTTCCCCGCCTGTTGGAAGCATACAGAGGAAGTTACTTGCTGGAAAGAGGTCCCCAGCAATACCAGGCAGGACAACAAATATTTTCTGCAATTTTTTTTCCCAATAACTAGAGTGAACACACAACAGAGATGCATTTAAGCCTTGCTTTGCTGCATTTATCAAAACACCCCAACATTCATACACTGGCCTTTTCGTGTGATGACCTTTGGAGTTTTCATTTTTTTGTGGGATGACCCACGTGCTGTCTCCTTCATGACAGTCTGCACCTTGACAGTTTGCATGCTGCCAGTGATCATTACGACCAAAATGGAATCTAGGCTCAATGCAGGGCAACGCCAAGATGCAGCAGGGTTTCTTACCAGATTCCACCACAACGGAGCCTGGTTTAAGCTCCAGCTGTAAGGTGATGAGGCTGATGTCGGCAAAGTACAAGATCTGGGTTCGATGGGGCAGATTGAGGGTCCAGAGCTCGGGGGTAGGCTGCAGAAGATGTACATAACCCTGCAACAAACCACAGAAATAGGGGGCGGGGAGGTAAAGGCCGAGTCAATTTGACTTATTGAATATTGAGATATTCAAATTTCTATTCCATTGAATATTTAAGAAAGATTTTTGACTGAAAAACAACCTTTTCTCTGGCTTCTTCAATTTTTTTACAGACAGAATCGACTTGTCTTCAGTCAAAACACAGGATGACGTGGAATATGTTATGTTTAGTGACAAGTATGTGGCGGCTTGATACGGAACTCACGCCACCCAAGCAGCAGGTGGGACAACTTGCCTTGCCACTGAGCGTGCTGAGACGACAGCCGTACTTCTTGCCGATGATATCCGAATGTCGCAGGGCACCTCGCCTCGTCTGCGTGACTGTGCCATGGCTGAGTTTCAGTGGCATCATGGCATTATAGCCCAGGTAAACGATGGCCTTGTCACCATCACGAATCACATCTGAGTAACCCAAGAAACCCATGTTGAGTGGAGGATGACTGATTACTACTTGTAATTCTGGCTGAGAAATGAGAGATGCGAGTTACAAGAAGTGAGTAGTTTTCAGACCAATCGAAAATCAACTAAAAAGAAGCTTCTCATTTTCAACACTTAATTCTTTATCAAACCAAAAAGGAGGGAAAATTTCACTCAACATAAATCAATGTGCACAGTGTTTGGCATGCTCGCGGTGGGCACGTACATACACGTCCATGTAGAAGGCCTATAGTTAGACTGGTTCCTGATCTCTGCAGGATCCCATTAACTTTCTAGCTGTCCAGTGGCAGTCTAGCCTATGCCAGTCATCATCAGTGAATAGGTCACTGTACGGTAGGGTACACTGAAAGTTACGGGGAGAACAATTACTGAGTCTTTGGCCGTGTCCAAAATGGGCTTCCAGGGCTACAGCTAGGTCTATTGTCTGCGGGTCTCCATGCATTTCCATTGGAGCGAGGACCTAGACCTAGCTCTAGACAAGAGATTCGGACGTGCCGGTACAGCTACAATACATGCACAATATCCTGCATTCTTCAGGGATTGTATTGGGACTCCATTCCTATAATATGTATGGGGGGAAAAGCTACATTGTAACTTCTGGATTGACCTTATCAGGAAGGTGACTATGACATAATGCTCAATAACTGTAGGGTTAATGTTGTGAAAAGAGGGCAGGGCTTTGAGTTTTGAGGGAAATGATGAGGGAAAAGTGTGACTGTTTTAACACATGACACATGGAGGATTCAAATTGGCTTGGGTGGTTTACATGTATCCGTAAGAAAGTCACATTTTCTCACACTTTACAATACGAAATGTCCAAAAAAACATGGTCAGTGCAATAAAGAAGACAGTTGCCTTTGGTATTTTGGGGGGACTGACCAGTTTTGAGAGATTACAGTGACAACTAGGGGGGGTGTCTAAAAATACACCATCCCCCACATTTCAGAACTCATCCCCTTCACTCAAAAGTCTGTTGCTATGGTATGGTTGCAAAACTGCAAACATTGCAAAGACGCCCTAATAATATGTCTGAGCATAGGCCTATTGCTAACATTAGTATGGTTAATGTCACTGCCTAGAAGCAGTAGTAGGCCCCCCAAACCCAAGAACTGTGGGGTTTGTTGTCCACCGAATGCCGCGCTGCATGCTGCAGCCGACAACAAACCCCACAGTCTGACAGTTCTCGGTGGGCCTAACGATAGTGAGTCCAGCGTTTGGACGATTTTGGACTTTCTTTTCTGTTACCACACTAAATTTACCGTTTTACATTTTTGATTTCCAGAGCACATACACAGAAAAGATCCAAAAAATATCAAACTAAAGGAGAAACCTTGTTCTTTTCAATGATATACTTGTCCAGGAGACTTGCATGCAATTTCAAGTCAAAATTGTCTGTTGCATATTTTTTTTAATGGAACGATCCCAATCATGGGCACCGCCATTTTGATTTTCAATGTGCGAAAGTTTGGTTCATGTAAAAAATTCTTGCGTGATTCAGGCAGAGAATGAAATAAGTTTCTGGATGGTACCAAACTTTGACAAATTTGGTGTATTTTGAAGGTAGTAAAATGATCTTCTACGGAGAAGTTGTGAATCAAAAAGCCATTTTCTTTAACATAACTTCGAACATTTTTCGGTGGAAACCTACTGAAAGGAGGCTAGAAAGATTAAGTTTGGGAACCTAGAACATTACCCAATACAATGGTATAAAAATTGTGACACCTTTTCATGTCACACTACCACTGTAAAAAACTTTTATAAAATGTGTCATTTTGGATTATGTCTGTAAAATAAGTTCCAAGGCCGAGTGTGCATTGTAACATATTTCCAGGGTGTCTGAATTGAAAATGAGAATGAAAGTTTTGGTGAATAATTTTAGATGAGAATAGGCTGCTAATGCCATGGCTTTTATCAGTTTTAACAAATTTCTTTTATTCATAGAAAAATTAAAACTAATTAAAATTAACTACTTAATAGAAAAAATGATATATGATTAATTAATAGAAAACTTTTTGTGCAAAATTAGGAATGCACAAGTGGTATGTCACGCATTGCTGTATACATGTACAGTATGTGACACTGTGCATTTCTTGTTTACAGACTTAGGTTTGTGTTCTCTTTAGTCACGAACTATACACCACCCAAAAATATTAAGAATGTTAAGGACTATTGTGTGGGGCTATTCTTTCTGGTACATCTGGTACAAGTACTAGATTTGTTGGATTTTTTCTTCAAAATGTATGTAACACTGCTCTTGAAACAATGTGTGTGAAAATGGAAGTCCGAAGTGGTGACAGAAAATGACCCTCTTAAGATTATTATTAATTTTGCCATAACTCGCTAACAGAAGAAGCTATTGACATGATTTTAGTACCATTATTATAATCGTCATTTCATGAGCTTTTCAATGACACCAAATTTGTAGGTGAATTCCTAAAAAATGCAAAAAGCGTCACACTCCCTCTGGCCTACTTTCAGACTTTATGACATGAACGATCCGAGGCCTGGTTAGGGCTTTAGCCTACTCGTTAATATTCATAATTAATCAGATGTTAACAAAAATTGCAAAGAAACGTGCAATTTTTTTTCACATGGGTTATCCCTGCAATTTCAAAGTCGAATGAAACATGGGCTGAAGAATGCAAGCCTACCTTTCACCTATTAATTCAGTTGATTTCTTGAACTTGAATAAAGCAATGTACATGTAGTGTACAAGTTACAACTACAGCATGGAGGTGAGCATGAGGGCTGCCATGTTTGCATGCAAAATTAGAGAGGGCGCTCTTTAGCATTCCTGGCTGTGCTGGCTGTCGATGATTAAAATGCCGTCTTGTCATACAAAATTATAATAGTAACTTTATGAAACGAGTGTGTTTTAAGAAGACCCGGTCGAGAGAGGTTTTGGCCAGGCTATCCCCTCCCCCATCGGCTGTGAGATGGCCCAAAAAACCCAGAGGGATTTACATGCTAACAGGAAAGCGGAACAGTCGTCGGCTAACTGCATAAAATGCAGTGCTTTATTATTTTTTTCCTACTGTTTTTGATTTCCCAACAGTCGCTGGATGTCTGATCAATGCAAAATGCATGCATACGAGGGAATGCAGGAATATAAATGTAAATTTTGAAAAAATTGTATTGGATGGTCGGTATAAATATTTGAGGGAAAAAGGAGGCTGAAAATTATACCTGACCTCGGAGATGGATGCGAAAGACAAACAAAATATGATTTGCACAAAGCATGCTCTTTTTTAGGCCCGTACGCGATGTAGGCAAGTTGTATAAAACTTTCTAAGTTGTATCCGTAGCCTGAGGAAAATTCATTAGGTACGGCCTATGTATGGACAATTCTAAAAACAAGATCAAACAACCATGGAAAATTCGTTAAAAGAGGGTGTTTAGTCTTTCGGGAACCTTTTTGTGCAAGGTTACTAGGCCTACTCCGAAATATAAATATCTGCCGCGAGAAAAAAAATGATTCTGTATGATAAGTTTACAAATATCCAACAGCCATTATATAGGCATGGTTCGAGGCTTGCCAAAGTCAGTTATCATGACGCTATAAGAGTGAACCTTGAATTTAGCTATTCAGTCTTAGTCCCAGGGACCAGAAATTGCGCTTTCGTTATCAAAGTTCACGACTTATGCTGATATGAAACTCGCTCGTCTTAATTGACTTTCGGCGCCAAAGCACGTGTTCCTGTCTGCAGTATACACCCACGCAGAAGGAACGATTGGAAGAAGGATACAGAATCCTGATCTGTATATCAGCTTGCAGGCTGTTCAAGAATGTTGTTGCTTGATCGTATCTAATGTCAATAGCATGCAATAATAGACTCATTTGGGGCAACCTGACTGGCGATGTTTGCTCCATGCAACGCATTTTTCTTCCCTCTGCATAAGCCTCCTCGACAAAAACTGAAGTTTGTAATATCTAGCAACCACGGCACTCCAAATGGTCCTGTAAAACTACGCCACTAGGTCACCATGCGTGTGGCCATGATTTTCTTCTGGAAGCGGGTAAAGCGGTTATTACTCGCTGTGGAGAAATTGAAAATAGGGGTGGAAGTTGTGCATCAATTTGACGTTCAGCCGCTGTTCAGAAAAAGTGTATTATAAGGGCGTACAGGCCCAGCTGTATTGTGGGCCCGTTGCCAAATTATACCCTCTGCTTCATAAATTATACCCTCTACTTCATAAATTATACCCTCTACTTCATAAATTATACCCTCTGCCTCCTTTTCCTTTTCCCCCTCATTTTCAGTTACTTTTTCTTCTTCAGGGGAGTGGCAAGCCCCTCCCCCCACTGCGCTTGCCGTCCCCAACTGAGATTTTATTTAACACGGTGGTTTTAGCGATGTGAATGGAATGGTTACAGACGGTTTCATAATACTCCCGAATAATTGCCACGAATACCCAGATCTATCCCGACTAAAATTCTTGATGGCATCGGGAGAGATTACAGCCCCGAATTCGCTGTTTGCAAGAACAACTTAGGAATGAAACAAGAATGATTAAGTGCTAGGTACAAAGTGGAGGCCGAATCAAGCCGACTTCTTGCTATTTAATAAAACCCAACTGTTTCGATTTATGAAGGAAGCCAATTCGGCTTTAAAATCGGAAGTGTGCGAGACCGCCTTAAACAACGGGCCCGCTGTATGGCTCTTTCACACGACCAATAAGGAGAGACAAGGGGCGGATCCAGCGAAATTTGGGGGGAGGAGGGGCAAAGAATTCGAAGATAAACCAATGTGGTCTTTCAGAAAGAATGAGGCTAAATCTGGAGCTCTTTACCTTCTTCGGATAGAGGAAGAGAAGTGACACCCCCCAAAAAAGATCATTAACCTTCGTCTGGTTATGTTTTTTGAATTGACTATTGTTAAGGAGATGTGAACCCAGTTTCCGTCCCAGCTCCCATCAGTAAAGTGAGTCTAGCCCAGATCGCCGCGGAAAGCTTGGGCCACATTGTTCAAACATTTTCTTTCAACTATTAAGGCTAACCCCCCCCCCTGCACAGCAGAAAACCCCTCACTAACACCAAATGGCAAAACATTCGCTTTGGGCGAATGCTTAAGCGCTGGTAAGATACATCAGTAAGTAAAGTATAGCGAGGTAGCACAGTCTTTGTCAAGTTCGGGCTCGCTTTATAGCTCCTCTGTGGAGATTTCTTGCAAGGAGCCAAAAGCACGATTACGGTTCCTTGTTATTTCTTTTCAAGCCAGGGGCCTTGTTCCAAAGAAAAGAGCGCGCTAACGAACTCCACCAATTAATCAATTGCCGTATCGTCGGCAAAGGTTTTTTTCAGATAGCCTTGCCCCGCTGTCCGGCATTTAGGAGTAAAACCCTAGTGAGATTTTCTCATGGTTAATTATTAAGGAAACAAATTATAACTCATACTTTGGGGGGGAGGGGGCGGAAAGCTGGATTTTAAGTGCCCCAACATTTCTGTACCAAACACAATGGTCTCTTAACATGGTGGACAGTTACGGTAGTAGTCTAACGAGTTTGTATTTTATTAACCGCTATTCGTCTGCACTTGTGAGAGAAGAAACTTTCCCCTTCGTTTTACCGACCGAATGCTCAGTTCGAGTCGACTGCATTGACTCCCCCAAGATATTTTTTTCTGTGACCTCCTGCTGTAATTTCTTTTCCCCGGAGCGTCTTTGCAGTATCCAGGCAAAATCGGAATTACTCGCAGGGCTGTAAAACCGGCCCATCGCCGGCGGACTGCCCGAGATTAATAAGTGTGCGGACGGGCACTCCACTCTCGCCGGCCCCGGCATTTCAGGAGGGTCGAGGAAGGGACTCTACTTGCTCGGGCGGAGGGGACCAGTTCCTTGAAGCTTGAGAGCCCTGATTTGTGATGATCGCCCATCAAGGCCTTTAATTGGCCTTCTTAACCAAGAAGTATAATTTGTCAAAATTTGTCAGTTTGGTTAAAAGCCTGTACCTGCTGGCCGCCCTTCGCCGTTGAGTGGCGTCTTGCGGTCCAAACGTCTTGGCGGGTTGGACTTTGGATCCGGCCCCCCCTATATCGGCCCGTAATTTGTGTGCCCTCGCAATCTGTTCGGTAGACAGGGTGGATTTGAAAACAAACACGATTAATACGCGCGTCGGCTCGGGTATAGACTCCGCAGGAAAAAAAACTGAAATCAGGACGACAATTTTTTTATGAAATTCCCCTTTCTTGAATGTGTTGACTTTTTATCTCGGATTAAAAGAATAAAATAATATGTTACGTCTTATTCGAGAAAAAAGTTTGTGATGAAAAAACCGCGGCCCGACAGTAAACATTACGAAAGGTGTTTTCATCTCGCTCCCTGGCGAGCCCTTTGCGTACAAAAATACAAATCACTTTTTATGATGATAAAATATCGGTCTTTTCTTTACTGTCTTTACTGGCTGTCCATGAAAAAGGCACAAATCACAACACAAAGGAAGCAAAGTCACACCTGTGAAGTATTTGAAGTTCTTAGTCCTCTGCAAAGTTGATTTTTACAATCCAAACAAACTCGATTTCTCGCTATGAACCATAAAACCAACTTCGAAAGCAAGGAACAGTCTGTGGTTTTTATTTCAAGAATTTTTGTCCATCTTTAATATTAAAGTTAATTCAAGCAACTCGAAAGCTATTTACGCTGGTAAGCTATCGGGCTAGCAATAGAAAACATATTCTTGGCAAAAAGACAGACTACTGAAAACGTTACAAGGACCGGAATCCATGCTTAGCGGGGACAGAAATTGCAGTTTGAGAGGAAAGAAGAGGCAATCTATACCATTAAGTAAAAAGACCATTTACCCGTGTCTTCCCAGAGTCCAGTTTTCGGCCACTCAGTCAATGGCGTTTTCATGAGTTTTCATCCTCAACTCTGACGGAAGCACTGGTGACATACCGTGTATGAAATGTTGGCGTTGTCGTTAAAAAAGACTGCAAGTCCCGTGGGCAACTTGCCTCGTGCCCGCCATGTCCCGCCATCGTAACGTAAATGCTCTCTATAAAAATACATGAATGGACTTATTCTGTGACAGGAATTCCACAACTTGATATCACAGAAGGGCCAGAGCATCACTGGAAAAAAGATATAATAATCTACTGCTGTAAGTTGGTGATACGCCACTATCCAAAAACCCAATTGGATAGAATAAATCACACTGTCAGGGAAATGGCACTTACAGCCATTTATATCTCTCTCCACAGCTTTCAGATTTTAGCAAAAAGGCAAAATGCAATCTGACCACTTACAGGCAAGAAACAAATCCGCGTTCGCCGTTGAAACCTGTATAATTGTTTTGAAGACAAAACTTAAACAATATGCATGAGTATATAGTTCAGCCTTTTCCTGAATCACAAATTTCTTCAACCTGTAAAGTGGCCTGCTGCCGTCTGTTGCGCGGATGTTCCGATATTCTTGTGTTCTTAGTAATTTCACTGATTTTATGGGATGGCTGGGTGTATTCAAATTGGAGAATGACAGAAATGTAATGAATGGTTTTAATCTTGGAAAGCGACATAATCAGTAGAAGAAACCATCGTTACTATCTTTCCTAACTATGCTAAAATAAATAAATTATAAAAAAAATTCTCACTGCGACGATTCCCCAGCCTCGAAAAGACACACAATCTCCCACTCTTTCAGCAATGATCTTATCTCATTATCTGCATGGCAAATGTGTTAAATATATTGAAAATATTGGGAATTAATTCAAAATCTTTAAAAAAAAAAAGTGGTGTCTGCAAGTGATCTTTATTATTTGCGGTTTGTTTTTTAATCTAGAGCAATGTTCTATCGATTTTTTTATTGTCTGAGTAATTCTACTCATCGTCAGAACTGACAATTGTCTTCTTCGGGAACACTGGTTGACACGGGTTATTGTTCTGACACAGTAGCGAGAGGGTTGCCTGATCCAGAAGCCGTAGTTCATCCGAAGACAGAGCGAACAGTGCCTTGCCTACCGCGGCCTCTAGGGTACCGACATTCGGCTCAGATTCCTCACCAGGCCGCTCGTCCCCCGGGCGGTTGCCTTCTGCAGGTCCACCGGTCTCTGGTGGGGATGCCGAGAGCGTACCAGACGCGGGCCTCAGTTTCCCCGGGGAGGATCCATCGTGGCTCGGGGAAGACTCGGGCGTGAGGATGCTGTCCGGCACACTGACATGGTGCACCCCACCCCTCCCGGAATCCGTCCACCAAATGAGCTCCTGCTGCCGTGGCAGCCCTGCCCAGGGGATTGCGTGCAGTTCGTTCTTGTTGGCTGTTTCACCGCGAATCACCACGGCGCCGTTGGAGCTCGGATGTCCATTAATATGCGGTTGGTGTGTCTCCGGAACCGTGTAAGAACTGTCCAATCGGCGTTTTGTAGGAGGGCTGCTACAGGAGAAGCTACCTCCACACGGTGTGTAGTCTACTTCGGCTTTGTAAGGACCAGGGGACACTGAGACAGTCTCGCGGAAGGACCTCTTTCGGCCCTTCTCGGCCTCATTTGTGGACGGAAAGCACGGCTCCTGGTTCCTGTAAGCTGCCATGACTTGCCTCTTGGCTTTTAACCGCCGAGCCCACTCGAGGACCGCCCTCCTAAGGGCCGGACAAGGGTCGCTTCCGAGGGTGCCGGCGTCGATTGTCGGACCGCGCCGTGACGCGACAAAGTCGACCCCGCCCCTGTCCGCAAGGCACTCCTTGCGGGAGCAGGAGGGACGCAATGACTGCACGGTCCTTGCAGGCCCAACTAATACGGACGAATAAGGCCCGTAACTCCCAGACCCATGATAAATGTCCCTCCTGGCGAGGTGACGGGAACCCCCGGTAACTGACGTATCCCATCCTCCACTCGCCATCTTCTCCTGGCATGCTGAGTTGTTAACAAATGGGGTTCCTTGGTAGTAGCAGCCGCCACCGTCATACCCCCACTCGGCGCTCCCCCTTCGGTCGTCCAGATACTGGTACGGGATGGTCTCCCCCTGGTACGGCTGCCCCGTCCGCTGTGTCTGACCTCCGAGGCCTTCGTATCCATACGCCGGCGAGGAGTCGGTGGGGCAAGCGGGTGCCGCCTCCGGTCGCTGGTAGGTGTCCGGCCAAGGTGACGGAACATCATCTCCTGCGCTGCAGCTGAACCTCTCGCTTGAACCCGAGGCCGAAGCGGGGCTCGGTGAAACGAGACAAGAGGCAGACCGGCGGGCGAGGGATTCATGAAGGGCCTGCGACTCGTACATAGCGATCTCGTCTTCTCTATAGAAAAAGAAAATAATTTATGAGACAAAACCCACAAAAATGAATAGTTTTTTTTTCTCCGTGAAGACCTACATCACCATTGCCTGTAAACACGAGGATATGGATTTACATTAAGATGCTTTCCTGCCAGATTTCTTTGTTCCCCATTGCATTTCCTTTGAGAGGAATTCTGCTGGAATCGAAACGTCAGGCCCTCCATCTTTTAAGTATATCTCAGTTTTCCCAGTCAGTGAGCAGTTTGCGACATTGGTTTTTAGTTTGAGTGCTGGTCCGAAATTAGCGTTGGGGTAATGATATCATAATGAATGACTTCACATCATATCATTTTGATATTTACCACAACAGAGAATGAATCACCTTCAATGCCCCCCAAGAGCTCGTCCATTCATTAATTGGATTAATTTGGTAAAGGAATACTTTTAGCTATGTGCAAAGCACTGGCTTTTGTTTTGACATCAAAGGTCTTCAGTTATTCATGACAGCAGAAATACGAATGATTTATCAGTGCAAAACACCCTTAAAGATGGAGCCTCGAGGACGGTGTTGGAATTTATAGTTTTAACTTACTTAACCCTTATTTTCAGATTACATTTTCTAAACACTGTGTATTCATAATTACGGTGAAATGGCCAACAAATCAGGTGCGTACAGTCAGGGTTTGGTTTTCCCATTGCAAAATTGAATCTTCACCCCACGTTCAAACCATTTTCACCTTTCTACTTTTGCTTCTATATTTCAGCGTGCCGGGTTTGCTTTTAAAATCTCCATTCCGTTGCAACCTGCCACTCTACTACCGCGGTTACGCTATACTACTAACAAGAAAGCTCACCTGATAACCAGGTTTTGACACATGATGACAGCGGCGTGGTTGACCGTGCTGTCCCGGTCGAGCCACGCCGTCACGCTAACAGTCAGCCAACCCGAGTCCTTCCGTAGCAGCCGTAGGATGAAGGCGCAACGGCTGGCGGCCGTCCCGATGCTGGGCTGAAGCACTGCTCCGAAAACGGGAAAAGACGAGGCAAAACAGAGAAACAGGGTCAGTGGAGTGACGCTGCAATGGTCTTTACACGAGCTCTTAGCGCAGAAAACTCAACCGTCAGACCTCGCGTGGTTCGATACCCGCTCAGTGTTTTTATTCGCGCAGATCATGACATTATGGCACTCTGTGGCTGGCCAATCTGCACCATTTTGTGCACGTTATATACCAGACCAACAGCTAAAAAAGAATTTCCTCCTGCAATCATTTTAAAAAACTGTCTGTAACAGTCTTTTTTTTTTCAAGCTGAAAGATGCAGTCGCGCATACCGCAAATGGGAAAACCTTCACAACTCGGTCCCAACGACAAGAAGACAACCGGTATACAGCACTGCAATGCGCCACATACCGCAAAACAATCTGTGGCTACTTCCTTGCATAAGATTCAACTGCGTCATGTGTCTTTATTTTTGTTACATCAAATCACCAACGAAGTGCCCCTGGAGGAAGTAGCAGTTCATCGAGGGGGACAGACATGGGGAAAAGCCCCATTTTACGATTTGAATGCACCCTTTTCCTTATTGTCATTAAAGCCAAGTTATCGGGTTTAACGAAAAGTTGCGTTGGGGGAAATCAGCATTGGGGCCAAGAAAACAGTACATGCTTGTGAAAGTATTCTCTGACAAAGAAAAATGACAGTTGTCATGACATTTAGTGTAGAACTGTATTTTCATCATCTTTTAAAATGTAGTCAAGTGCCTTCCAAAATGCAAGATTCTTGTGTAAAGGTCTAAATGCGGGAATATCTCTCCTAATTTTCTTTGGCATTTCAAAAAATTGGCCGATCAAACACAGAGAGGGAGAGAGAGATCCACGTGGATCTTTTAAGAAAAGAAAAGGGAAGGACAAAACTAACAAAAGTTGCCCATGATTGTCTTCTGACTTTGCACCTTGACACTTTCTTTAATCGGGGAAATGCAAAAGTACTTTTTTTTTGGCTCGTTTTCAACTTTTACTTGCTCTTTTCAAGCCACTTCAACTCGCCCAGCTTCAGAGCGTTTCAGAGGTCACTGTAATAACACGCGCTCCCTGGACTTAATCTCTCAGCAATGTCCTCGTCAAAACAGCCAAATCCGTATTCCGTATTTTTCAACGTGGATGGGTATTTCCCTTCGTAGCTCAAGAATCCTGCCACCTACCCCAATATACCCAGTTATCCCAGTCAAATATCCCAATGTTTGTCCTATTACGGCTTGATTGGTTATTTTTTTCTTCCCGGAAATTTATACTGGCTCTGACGTTTCGGGGTACAGTATCCCGTTTGTCGTTTGGGTTGCAGGAAATGTACTGAAATAATTCCTTTCCTTGAAGTTGTCTTTGCGGGAATAACCACAGCTTATAATATCGGCATAACTCCGCATTTATGTTGTGGAGCGCACGTGCCGTTTACAGTCCCCTTGAGCAAACTACAGCAAAATTTATGACCGTGGATATACGAACTTGGAATAAGTAATATACAGGTTATCTTGTCTGGCACAAACATAGTTAATACATATTTTGTTCATGTCGGAATAAATCATTCTGGTACATTTAGGGGGCTTCACCTACGACTGACTGAAGATGTGCCAAAACCGAATCGATTTGGCGCTAACTGAATGACGCAATGTCTGTTCTGGACGTGTCAGCAAATCAGATCTGTTTACAAACAAACGGAACGCAATAAAAAACGGGGGGCGGTGTCAAGAAAAGAGTCAGTAGCGTCAGAAAAGCCGTCCGCATGCGTACATTTTGAAACGAATTTGGCCACATTCCTGATGAATTTGAACGCGGAGACCTTGAAGTATGTACATTATGGTCCCCATAAAGTGTTCACGATAGCGAAAGTTCAAACACGCCAACCCTACAAAACCTGGAAAGAAAAGTTTGGAAATGGTCCTTCACTGCATGTACTCTCTCCCTTGAATACTCTACAGCTGGATGTAATTTCAAACTTGAACAAAATTTATATATTAGCTAAAAAAAAACCACAAGCCGTAAATCACATATCGAGAACACGCAAATATCTTGTCGCTTTTGACTCAGGAATGTAACTTGGGGATTGAGTCGGGCTGTGAGCTTCAACCCGGTCCCTGGAGTGGAAGAAAACATGATGACATTCGTTACCTGGTTCCACCTTTAATCCGTTCAATTGTCTACAGATGAACTTCATGATTTCCAATGCAATAGCTTCTTTTACGAGCAATAAGTTATCCAAATGTCATCAACTGATTTCTGTCCCCTCACGACCACTAGTTTGATCCTGAAATATTCACGGTATTAAGACTTGTGAGTCTTCGGAATTCGATGCCCTTTAACAACCACATGCTAACAACTGCCCACTAGTCCAGCGAACATCCAAATATCCGCCTATGGTGATAAATTATGTATACACCACGGCACTGGATTCCTCGCTAAAATAACACTACGCAAATAATTCAAGTGCAATGAAGTCGGCTGCCTCTGTGAGCTTTTCAAGAGATCTGAACAGAATTGTGATTCAAATACTGAATACTCCCCATACTGAATAACAGTGATGTATCCCGAGGGCGATGGTGGGGTAGGTAATTTGTTGCCCAAGACATGTTACCGTTTAGGAATGCAGATCGCCAACACTTTCAAATTGGTACTTGCACCTTCCTGAGAGAGCTAGAGATAATTGTTTACGTTTGAAAAATCGACCATTGTTTTTAAAAAAAAATGGTTACCCCCATCCACCTTAATCCCGGATAAGCCACTGTTGGCTCTGCAGAAGTAACATACCTGTGTCTATTAGGTCTACTTCAGCAAACGAAGAATCCTAAGATACCTACTCACGACAAAAACGACAGAGTAACAGTTTTGGTTTGAATCGCTCGTCTGCTTACCAGGGCTTGGGTTTCAGTTTTTCTTGACTTACTTTGTTGGTGATGTTTCCGGGCCGTTTCGATGTAGTCCGGATGTACGATTGCGTACCAGGACATCCCACACACCTCGCTTACTTCATAGCCCAGGTGGAAAAACACGCTGAGGTGCACAAACAAAACGAAATCGAAAATGGAATTTTTTTTTGTTCGTATTCCGGTCATTGCTGTTGACTATAAATAACTGAACGGGTAAAGGTTCGACCAAAGCGAAAGTGAGTTACAACGGGCACATTTCAAGCACCCATCATTCTGGTGTATTTTTCTACATCCCTGTTTTTTACTTGCACGTGGCACTCACATTCTGGTGCGCAGAAATTGATGTCATCTGTATGGATAGAATGTATCGCAGGTTACCGATGGCTTTATGAGAAAGTAGGGCGACCGTTTCCAAATCAATAATTGATATTACCTGCAGTTTGAGCCTTCTTAAAATGCCATCTCGTTTATTTCAAAATTCTTGCTTCAAAGTGCCTAAGTTTATAATGCCAAATTTTAACGAAGCAGGGTTCGCCTGCCCTTTAACTGCGACAATCGATTCAGGAGAATGTTGAACATAAATTCCGAGGTTTGGTTCCCTAACCTGAATAAAGACCACCCGACATCCCTTGACAGACTGTAGGTCACGCGCTAAATGGAGCAGTAACCCGCAAGCTTCCATCGCGTATCTAGGCCATTAATTCCGAAACTCTGTACCTTTGATTTAGAACAAATATGCCTCAAACTGGAATTTTCACCGTCCACGAAAGCCACGGCGAGCCTTTTGCTGTCTCATACCAGATAACTTCTGATGAGTGTAAATCGAAAATATAACTAGGGGAAAATTTTTACCGGATTGGCCACAATGATGATATTAAAGATTATGATAATCACAATGGGGCAAAATCTGTTGTCAGGCTGGGAAGACAGGCCACAAGACATGTACTAACATAATGTATGGTTAGTGATTAAAAGGCGTGAATCAAGGGCATCCCCGTAGGTGCTTAAAGTCAGGAGATGTCTACATCGTCAACGCGTATCCGAGTCAACTTCAGATAGACTGACGAAAATGATCCGAATTGATACAATAAAATGTCTGCAGACATTACTGTTCTACATTCCCTATGCATGATTCTGTTAAGTCAGCAACTGTTCAGTAAAGTAAAAATGGGTAGGCCAAACATTAAGGGTAAAGATGGCTGTTGTTTTTATCGTTTGCGCCAGTGTATACTCCACAGGGAGCTATGGTGGTTTTCAGGGGGATTTTTTTGTTTGTTGCCCGGTGAGCATGAAGCGCCTCGTATCCTCTGGTAATTTGCTCATTTTCATTTTGTCCGTTCAACTTTAAAGAACAGTTTACTTCAAATTCGTCCCTAAAATTCACGACCTTTCACATCCCCCAATGTTTAATTTCGTCTTTGGTCGCTCATTTCTGCACCGTTCAAACACTTTCATACAGTTACCATATTTTTTCGTGAATGTCAATTATTTTGTTTTCGTCGTCTGCGATTGCTGAACGCAACGATAGATGAAACAGTTTCGTCATTTCGGACCATTTACGATTGTGTACTATTTTCGGTATTTGTAAGTTTTCATCTGTTCATTTTTACTTCATATTGATTTTAGGTGTGTGTGCGTCATTTTGGAGTTCACTGTTGGCATAGGTCTCTGACTTCAAAATAAACAAAATTACACGTTTTCTTTCCATACTTGTTAACTGTGTCTATTTAGTTCTTCGACGATTTTGTGCGTTAGCAAATGGAAGAAGTCCGTGAATGGGCAAATGAAAGTATATAAACTTTCCATGTCATGCAAGAACTAAATAGGCCTATGCTTATTAAAAGCAAAATGTGTTCATATTTTCATATCTTTCACAAACAGCCGATTTGGTTCTTCTTGTGCTTCTGATTGGTTGTCCAACCTTCAAAATCATTAGGTGAGACGAATTCCACCGAAATCTAACGGAATCGAACGGACAAATGTTCGAAAAGATAGACCACTGAACCTGACTGTGGAATGACCAGTGGCTAATTTCATTACAGCATTTGCGTGTTCTAGTCTTTAGATGAATTCGAAGTTAGTCGTATAAATTTCAGTGACAAAATTTATAAAAATGTCTTTATTTTGTGAAAACAGACCGAGAGATTTAACACTGCATGTGTAGTCTGTTCTCAGGGAGGCGAGGCGTCTCGTATAAGCCGGGGTGAATGCACAGCTATGTCCCTCAACATTCGCAAAATGTTAAAAAAAAGAGAGAGAGAGAATGCCTGTGGATTGTGCATCAACAACCCCAACCCGAAACAATGACGACTCCCGCCTTTTCTAAACAACACGCCATTTTCTGTTGGAATGTGATATCATACCTTACACATGTAGGTGGAAACTGCGGCTGGAACAAAGGTCTAGGTTAAAGGTGTCAATGGCAAAACAATATAAACTTAACCACCCCCCCCCAAAAATGAGTTTGTTCTTTTGATTTTCAACCAAAAGGGCGTGAGAGGGACACTTCCAAAATAAATCTATCCAAGCAATAAACTTCTTCATTAAAGATGCACTTCCAGATCCACTGGGTTATACAGAAGGCATTTATCATTAAAGAGGTATTTTACGAAGACTTCACAACCAAGTTGTAGGTCTAGGGGTACCGCCTGCGTTGTCGTTCTTTGTTCACCATGGAAGGAAGACGCCGTGTAACTTTTGACCTGTCAGTCAGAATGTTATAACTATGGGGGTACACCACAGATTCATGTTTCGATGGAACCATTACAGAGGAACATGCAGGAAACAGATTCCAGCACCAGGGGATAATTTTTATAATGCATCGATGAGCACAACACGCGGCGTTGGTGGTGTCACATACTGCGTTTGTTTGCATGATAGCGGGTTAGGTTTCGAGGTTGCATGGCTCTGTCAGCCTATGATTATCAGTTGATTTCATGTACTCGGGTTGAGTGCACTGTACGGCCGGTGCAGAGATGGAAACGGCTTGAAACTGACACCAAAAATGTACACCCGCTGGGATGCCAGTCATCCATAGCTGTTGGCAGATACTCGACTTGCCAAGTAAAAGTGACGACTCGTTATATAGACTCGGCCATCTTATTCTTACATCGACGGTTGGTATATACCAACGGCACGTGTGTACTTGAAGATTTGACTTTCATTCGGTATGGACAACTCGTAACTGTTGGGCCGCACCGTGGTTTGCAGTTCTTGTTTGAACAGTGTTTTCAATTTCTTAATGATTCCACTAAATTGTAGTTTGTGAATTTTGGCTGTCGTAGTTCCTTATGGGACGGCGCATCTTTTCCTTTCCTTGCGTGCCAATGCATGAGGAGGATAGTCCGTCTGGACTTTACACCGGCGGAGATAATCCCCTTCTGTATCCCCAGGCAATCCCTCGTGGAGGTCACTGTAGCGACAAGGCCCTCGACCAATCGCTGTAGGCATAGTCATAGGCCTACCAGCGTGTCTAAGATGACCTCACAGAGTCTGAAGTCAGATCTGATTGGCCACAACGCAGGGTCAAATAAAATTTGCATGGATGTAGACGGAGGCTGGTCCGGAGTGTTTTCCAGCAAAAGTACTGATACCAAGATTTAAGATTTCTATACTGAGCTATGAAAATGCCAATCACAAAAGGGTTAAAAGAAAAGAAGCACATTCAAGCCATTCTGACAACCTAACTCATGGTGGTTAAAGGCAAAAACCGCGGTTCGAATAACAAACTCAAGAGCAAGTTATAGATCTGTCATCAGATTCACCCAGAGCCGTCAGCGCATTCTTAAGCATCGGCATGAATACGACTTTGTTACATACTCACTTGGATGAGGCGTCGTACAGCACCATGTCCATGCCGTGCTCGGTGGTGAACATGGAGGTCTTGAGGGGCACCATCTCGTCCGAGATCGGTGTGAGGGTCTCCACGGGGCTGCAGACGGCGGTGAACACGGGCTCAACCTGGTTCCAGCTGTAACAGCAGCCCGACCAAAGGATCCTAAACCGGCCTTTAATGCGGACCATCTACACGGAATTCATACCACAATACAAGTTTAATTATGTGGAGTGAAACTGAGCAAATTAAAGTTACCTGCAGTGGCAATTTCTACGGATACAAGAGGTCGAGCACATGCGCATTTGCCTCATGAGTTCGAAGTTCCATATTAGAAGAACGACCATACCAGCATTCTTGCAAACAAATTACGGGCTTCAGTATCGAGTGTTGACCATGTCATGTCCAGCAAATTTCAGATTAAAAAAATAACATCCATTCCGAACGCAATAACAGGCACAATCTTACTTCCTGAAGCCTTTATTGTTTCCTTTGTTGTGTCTGATATTTCGTATACGATTGGCTCTCCAAAATAAAACAAAACTTCCGAGGGGACAGATCTTCAGTAGCAATAGACAATTAGTACATGATTCTGTCATCGAACAAAAAAAGGATGTCAAGTATTCTTTCTTCCGCGGTAACATGATAAACAAAGTGATGCCCGGAACTGTGCTGCAAAGGGACAACGCAGGGGCATGTTATAACATAGGCACGATTGGCCTTTGTCTTCGGTTCACTTTAAAGGCGAGTGTCCAAGCGAAGAATTAGGCCCATTTGAGTAGATTACTGGGGAAAAGTACGATTCGGCCTTCCGAAAAATGAGATTGTGGGCATAAAAGAGCACACAGAAACAAATGAAGAACATGTTCAATTTCCGTTAATTCTCACCACAAATTACGCGTGTTCGACTTCATTGGACCACTAAGATCGTTTAACAACGCAGTCATGCGACCGGTATTGTTGATTCGTCGAATCATTGGCCACGTTCAATTTTAATTCAACGGAGGGTGAAAACTGCAGTTACCCAAAACTGGGTATTGCTGACCCAACACCGAGGGAAAGAATCAATTCCTGGTTCATCTTATATCTCAAAATGGGTTAATTGAACCTGTTTTGTTGCTTAGTGACCAGGAAATTGATTGAGTTGAGAAGAGTCAAAGTTTGGGTCACAACTTAACCTGGGCTTTTGTCACAATAGTTGAAAATTTAGAACTGAAAAAGAAAGAAAGAGAGGCCGTTCAGCGCGCAAAACGGGCGACATCCTATTCAGTCTTTTAGCCTTGCATAAAATCAACCATGGAGATGTCAGTTTCAATGGAACTTGGCATGCATATTCAGATATTTGTAGTTCACTGCCCTAAACGTGTCGGCCCGGGAAAAGCACACAGTATTTGGCTGACCTGTCTTGGAATAAATGGGCGAGAACGGGTATGCTTGATTTTCATCAAACTGGTGTCTAAATGACTGTAAGAAATTATTGGGGGAGAAAAACGCCTGAAGAGCTCGGCACGAATAAGGGGCGTTGCTAGAGGGGGTCGGGGAGTCAACCCCTCCCATTGATTAGTTTTGTCGGCAAAATCATGGTCTCACGGTTGGCAAAATAAAAAAACGAAGAACGACGAATGAAGATGAAAGGAAGGGGGATACAGTACAGTCATTTTGCGTTACAGCCTGTTGGCAAGTTTCATATGGCACCCCCCCCCCCATTAAAATACACCCGGCTTTTATTTACGGTTTTCATTTTCAAATTAATTCAATCTCATGGGCACTGGCCTACCTTGTTGTCAGTGCAGTGATCCTTACGGCGCATGTTGCGCGATGTGTTCATACGGCAGAAGAAAGTCCTTTCGTCATCTGCGAACAGAAGAAAAAATGTCAAAAAGCATTGCTGTTATAGCAGGAGGAGTTTATCAAAGGCAACGGAAAGGGAAGAGTTAAAAACTGCAGAGCAATGGCGTTGCCAAGGGCGGCGTAGGATGCATGACAGAGTTCAACAGGCTTGAGTATCAGTGAGCAAAATCGGGACACTGATTGCAGCAAAAGAGGGACGTTTTCCTAAAATAAAAAATCAAACTGGGAACCAAAAAAATTACCTTTTTCACCGGTTTGTTGCTCCTTTATTTTCACGGCCTAATTTGTTAAAAAAAAAGAGTCGAAAATCGCTGTAGACGAACAATCAAAACCTCAAAATTGAACCAAACCGACCCACATAGGAACACCAGTACATTCAGTAATGCAATATCCATACCATTGCCGTATACTTGCAACAGTCAAGGCATACGAGGGTCAAGTTTGACCAGTGGCCATTAATAAAACCATTGGTCGATATTGCCTGGTGCCCAGGATTATTCTGTACCGGTATATGTTACCAGGGGAAATCGGCAGTGGTCGGCAAACGGGTCGAGCATGGTCAGGAAGTGGTTAACTTAACCTACCGTATGGTTATGATAGCACAGTTTCGACATTCAGATTATCAAACTGATTGACCTTCCCCTGCCTCTCCAGTGATTTCTTTTTCAAACTCTTTCAAACCAATGCTGAAGCAATTTTCACCCTTTAGAAAGCGTCCATATTTCAGGGGAACGCAAAAGTGAGTCGAGTTTGACGTCACGAAACGTATTCAAGAAAATTCGCTTGTCTGGTCGCTAGCTGGGAAAAAAAATGAGTGCAGGAAAGAACTTATCCGGCTGCGACGAGACGAAATTCGACAAATCAAACAACAAAGCCTTCTCGAAACAAGACGTTGGGTTAAGGTTTTGTTCATTTCAGCGCGTGTCCACAACCCAATTACACATAATTGAATTGTCGCAACATGATAAATTACCCAGGCGCCACTAGAATGGGAAAAGACTGAGTCCCAAATCTGTCCACGGTGTGATTAAAAAAATTCGCTTCTCCTTTTTTTTTCTTCCTTGAACCGCTGGAGGGAAGGGATTGCAAGAAACCGATCCGCCCACAATCCAGGTAAATCCTCTTAACTGTATCAATATCCAAGATAATATTTGTAATTACGAGATGACCGTTTTTCCAACCTATCAATTGCCAAAACACCTACAGGATAAACTTGATGTCTCCGAACATGATACTATTATTCGCGTATAGATTGGAAACAGCAGCCGAATCTATCTTTTTTTAATATATAATCAGGTGTACTTTTAGCCAACGGCTCTTTCATTTCTGGAGAGCAAAAAAGAGGTGAGTGAAATGTTTCTAAATTGAAAGGGAAACAAATCAAAATGAACCACGTTTTCCACCGTGTTCTGGCCAAAAAAAGGAGAGTCCCTCGTAACAGTTCTTGGTAAAATGGTTGTATCCGGGTCTGCCTTTGAGAAATAGCACCGCTATTTGTTTTCCATTCTTCACAAGTAAATCGGGACTTAATTGGCCCGGGCGCTGGCGATTAGACGGCCTAAGCCCAGCCGTTGCCGGCAAGTGGCGTAAATTTGTCACATCCCCCCTCGCCCTGCTCTCTGGCCATCTGGTGGACTGAACACTGTCTCGTCTCCGCCACCCGCTTGTTGGCAAACCCATAAACGGTTACGCGCTGGAGAGAAAAAAAGGGAAAAGAGGGAACAGAAGAACGACGATCCGCAAACACTGAGTCTCCGACTCGCTGCCACCGAGGGTTTGAAAAAACCGACACCATACACGTTCGCCATCCCTCAGGACGGCCAGGATTATGGATAGCAAAACGCACCCAAAAGCCGGTTTTCCCTCTTATTAAAGACAAAAAAATAAACTCGCGCGCGATCAGTCGACGTGCAAATATTTGGATCAAGCCGGGGCAGAAACCGGGAAAGTCCCGGCGTGAGGCGGGGGCCTTAGATGTCGTGACAGACAAGCTTATTGTGGGTATTGGAGGAGGTAGAAACCATCATCTTTTCTCTAAGCCCGGTGATAAAAACCACTAATCATGGTGAATTGGCTTCCAAATAATTTTTAAACAAAGAAAAAAAGAACGCAGGCAGCTCGGAAGAATTGCGCGCAATACCACTATTAATTAGCCACAGAATTTTTCCGTTTAATCACGGATGTATTCGCCAGACGGTTAGGGTATGGGATTGAGGGTGAGTATTAGTGGGCGGAAAAAGGTCGGGAGTCATCCACGACATCGACTCCAGGCGAATGAGGACGACGGAGTGATTTTTATGTTCTCCGAAAGTAAGGGAAACTGCATTTCATGCATGGAAGTGCAACAGCCACTGATAACGAAAAACGTCGCCGACTGAAAATCGTCAATTAGTGTTTTTCGACAACAATAACCGTTCAGTCTTTCGCTCCCCACAACTTTATTCGAAACAATTATTTCAATTTACTCTAAAACGAAAGTTAGGACCTACATCGGCGTGGGGGGGGGGTTATAGCGGAGCCAACTCATCGTGGTTTCCGATGTACAGTTCAGGGAAACGCATGTAGCAAACATGTTACTTATTAGGTCAGGGATTCATTTCGTGACGTAGATTTTCAAATGTATATTTTGCACCAGTGTTGGGAAAAGTTGGAAACTGGTTTTAAGGTAGAGCAAATTGGAGAAGACTACTTTTAATCCAGGAAAACTTAAAATAGCAATACATCATAAAAAGATAATTGGAGTTTATATTTTAAACGATTCCTTGTGTCATTATAATGTTTTCCTTTAACATTCCCTGTTCCTGTTTCCGCCCAACAAAGCCCTATATCTGACAAAATCTAGAGACATTTTCACATTTCGGCATTGTTTACCAATAATGCTAACCGAAAACTGCATCACTCTTGAGAAAATTGACAGCCAGCTGATCGATACCGGAAGGATCAATCATTCACCTGAGTGGTATTCGGCTTCGGTACCGCCACAACTGGAGCCCACCGCCATTTGGCCTCGGACGATGGCGTGATCTCTGGGATCGATTACTTCGTACAAGTCGCCACCTGTCGACAAAAGCTCCACCTGTGAACGTGAGAAAGATGGCGAAGTTGATGGTTAACAAGCTCAATCAAATTTGTGGGCATGTTTTTTTAAAAGGTGGAAATTGAAGACCGTCTTTTTCGTAAAATTTAGTACACGTTGATTATGTTTTGTGACGACAGTCATGCAGACCAAAAGAGTACACATGGCTTTGGATATTATTTCTTTCTTTACTCAGGGTAAAGACTGGTGAAAACTGGTTAATAAAGTAACGAGCACAAGTAATTTGTAAGAAAATCGAAAGTTTACTGTTAAAAAAAATTAGAAAATCGGTAATCATTGATATCATATCCAAGAATAATTATAAACACAAGTAAAGGAAAAAATAACAAAACTCACACGCATATCAAACTCCCAAAATAAGATTAGTTGACACTTATACTTTTAACATTAAAATGCGAAAACCGAAATAAATACTAGACTGAAAAGTAAAACAATACGCCTACATCAACACAGAGGTAAAGAAAATGTAAAGAAATGTAGCCGAAATGTTGAAAAGTGTCATTAATACAAGTAATTAAGAAGTTCGGTTAAAAAAAACAGGAAAGGGTTGGTTTACACTGATTGGCCTGGATACTGAGCATGTTCACCACAGTGACTGAGAGTGTCCCATCGTGGGAGCGTGTTTATTCTGTCTATAATGAACTGGCATTGAAGAGATCAGTCACATGTGTTGGAGACATGAATCTCATATTGAAAGAGGGAGTCTTTTTGTCATAAAATTACTGTCGTAGGTATCACACAAGTCATGTTTAAAAAGCTTTGTAAAGTCGAGGACAACATTAATGAACGATTCTGCAAACGAGTCTGCCGAATGTTCGTGTAGAAATGGCTTACTCCACAACCCCCACCCACATATTACATATCCCCCCTCCACATACTGAATTCATTTTTATTACCATGGAGTGTCCGAGGTAATCCGTGACGTTTTCCGATATGTACAGCAGTTTCCCTTGTCGTGTCATGACCAGTAGAAATCCGTGCAGCGCCTGTACGATGGACAAGAGGACATGAGACAATCAGGCGCACTTACAGTGACAGCCAACTCCTCAAGACAGAAGTTGTATTTTGACAACGTCTGATTTCATGATTAAGCATCGTGAAGTTCAGAGCAACGATTAGTAATAAATGGGTGGAAGGGGCTTGAAGGGGGGCTTGAACAACAAAGCATGTAATCGCCCGACTTGGTTGGCTTTAGTTGATCACATTAGACATTTTGACAATTAACATGTCGTCTTAGAGTTTACCCATAGAATGAGTCTTCCAAATCTGTCCACTTGAGGCAACGGTGTATGGGTCCAGAACCAAATTTTGTGGCCTTTGTTTTTAGAACAACAATATGAGGATTTTTGAGGACTTTTTCTTGGGTGGTGCTAAATTTGGGGACTTTTTACACGTTTGGGAGGGAAGGAAATTGGAAAGGTCAAAATAAATCTGAACTTCCCTCGTTATAAAAAGGATGATGACAACCATGCACTTTCCCCTCTCCGGATTTGCCAGTGACCTGGAGATGGTTTCAATGATTTCGACGAACGCTATGAATATGATACTGCATGCTACACCGCAGATTTCGTCATATTCTCGCATGCCTTGGTATGTTCAATCACCGGCATTTTGTCAGGGGCACCATTAGGGACTTCGGTGTCCAAGATACTCCGCCCCCCCCCTGCAGTGAAAGTTGATCAAGGTTCACATCGTTTCATGAGACAAAAGAGTCAACGAATTAGCTTCCAAAATTGTAAGAAGCAGACTCCCTTCTGCATCGCATTTGCCTATCAGACGGCCGCTCTCCGCATCAGACGTCACATTCTCGTTAATAGATTTATGGCAGAAGGCATATCAGTGAAACATATTCTGGTCGTTATCAACAAGAAATATGCCTGAATAGTTCAGCCAAGCCACGGTGTATAGTAAACGGAAATTTCTCTCCGAAATAGTACGACTTCTTTCTAAAATTCCTCCGCTGATAACATTGATCTACGAGCGGAATACGAGGCCACCTTTAAATTAAAGCACTGTTCCAGCGCGCAGGTTTTAATTCCGCAAAGTTTGGAGATCACTCATTACACTTAGAGCAATAACTCCGTTTATGCCGCGTCATCCGCGTCCCAGCGAGCCTGCCGCTCGGCACTGGCCGAGGATAGAGCTGGCACGGCCCCGGTGTACGGGGATCGGGATATGATTGATGGTCGCGTCTCTCGCTAATACCCTCCCGTACTTTGTTCCGCACGTAAAATTGCTTTCTCCCTCCCCGTTCTTACGGGGGGGGCCGGGTCTACTCCTTGTGTATGATCAGTTTGCCAATAATCATCAAGACTCTCCTCGTCCGGGTCTCTCTCTCTGTCTATTCGCCATACGCACACGGTATGCCCCGAGCCGGTCTTGCGATCCGGCAGCGCGGGGGGGGGCGACTAGGACGGTACTCCCACAAATTAAATTGAATTAATCGAGTGTAATACCTCAGGGGAAATTTCGTTCAAGCGTATCGTTTATGATTTCCTTTCAGATACACTGATGGTAACCTATCTAGTCTTCTGTTTTTCATACTTTTTTTGGGCAAGTGGTTGTCAGTGTGTGTTTTTTTCTTGCGCTGGAGATCTTTGGCGGTGACATCAACATCATCTCGGACCCTAGCATGCCCATAGGGTATGATGGGAGTCTATAGCCGGACCGTGTCGGGTGGGTGGAAGGTAATAGGGCCGCTAGGGTAATTATAGACATCAAAGTTGCATCGGGAGATCAGATTATTAGGAGATTTAGCGTCATCTGAAACTTCCTGAAGGAGGTAGGCAAAGAGTATAAGGAGTTTTTGATTTCTTCAAAGCTGGTTCAGTGCCATCACAAAGAGAGAATGTTTGCCCCATTGGCCGAGTTAATATCGTGCGGTTGAACTGTCTGCCAGCAAACAGCGCCAGCGCCGTTCTCTAACGTACAGAACCGGTATGGTCGTCAATAGTGAAACCTTTCGAAAGACAGTCATGTTTGGGCCGACTCACGTGTGCACATACGGCCACCCTGTTCCGCTCGTGCACCAGCATTCCGATCATCTTTGTTATTTGCTCTTTCCCTTGTTAACTTTCTTGCCTTAAATAAGTTGACGCGGCGTCCTATGCTACTGTGATAAATCACCAAAATCAAAAATAGGTTAGGTGTCGATCTCAGATCTAGGAATGACACGCAAGTTGACTGCAGTGTGCAGAGGGTGAAGGGAGGCATTGATAGTCGTACGTGTCTGGAATCCTCCCCTATAGGGGAGGATACAGACAGTTTGCACTGGGCGCCCTCACTGAGGGCAGTCTTGGTCATTTAAAGTATGCAGCAAACGGACGAGTGAAGTGAACACTCGTGCGTATCACTGGCCGAGTTCGGACGGCATGTTCCCGTCTGTTCACGAACAGCTCTATTTGTTGTTGGTGGGTCGGCCGCTCGAACGCCGGGAACAAACAACCGGTTATCGCTGGTAGTTAGTGACAAGCAACATGTATGCAACATGGCGGCGTCCATGTAGGCTACGTTATTCGAGAGTTAATGTTTGGATGGGTTGAATTCTTTTCTATATAAACAGGAACAATCATTTCTGTGTTACGGAAAATAATTGATGTTAATTTTGCAAAACTTCCCATTGTCCATGGCTTTGGAAACCATCTCTCTACTTTTTGCAGCTGTTCAAAAATCGAAATCTCACGAGTTTTTCCGTGTGTTCCTGTAAAACCCTGACGAGGAGGTGGTGTGTGATCCTGTTCCGAGTACAGTGTTCTTGAGTCGTATTCTCGCGGTTCGAGCGCGAGAACAAGAAGCCCGTGTCAAGAACGGACCGCCCAAACTCGACCACTGAGTAACGAAGTTACCGATGGCGCCCTGTGCCAGCTCTCTACAATTTTCCTCTGTAACGTACCCACCTGCATTTTGAACCTGCCCAGGCTTTACAAGATTTTAAAGCGATGCTCAGACGCACGGTTTTCACAAGAGTGTTGCGCTTTTCAGTGATCATACACATGTACCACAAATACTGATTGCCTTGCAGACATTTACAAGCTCAGCAGAATGGAGCCCTGTGTGACAGAAGGTGCAAACTGCGTCTTTTTAGCCTATTGAAAAAAAACAATTGATTTATGTGATTTCGTGTGTGATAATAAGCCTTAATAATAAAAAAATGAATAAATTCTGGTACACTGAGCTCTTTAAATTCACTTGAATATAACAATTTTCATTCTCGATACTAAAGACGTTATTGCTATACCTCGTGATTCAGGTATGCTTTTGCTTAGTAACACAAGGGCGCGGAATGGCACCAACATACCTGTTTTCAATGGAAAAGAAGGGCACAAAGGAACAAGTCTATTCGAGATGGTGGTCGCCATGCGAAAGCTTGCCCTGAATCACGAGGCAAAGCGATGGTGTCTGGAGAATTCAAATTGTTATGTTTATGTGTAATCAGATACGGTAACTCAGTGTACAAGATTTTATTCATATTTGACACGAAACAGGCTTATTGAGACCAATGCTTTTTAGGCCTGGAATATAATTGTGCCTTTAATCTTCATGCCTGGCTGGATGTACTAGCGTGGTAAATACATGCGAATGTACAAATGCGGAGCGGGTCAACGATACACATCGAGCCCGCAACCTCGTCGAATTTACGGCACCGATGGGCCAAATGTTTCCTTTTTTCTACCCATCAACTCCACGTTCCCAGAGAAGCCACAATCTAAGTCTGTGTCCTGTTCGGAATTCTCAAAGTATGGGCGACACAAGCTATATTAAGTCATGTCGTTTAAGTCTTAAGCTTCAGTTTCAGTACAACATTAACATTATGTGGGAGTGACCTCAATTTTTTTCCCCCCAATCTTGAATATATTTCACAGCTGGGTGGGCTGAAATTCAGCTTGCAAAATGAGGGCGCTCTTTATTTTGTACAAGTGGAATAACAGCCTGGAGGGCTTTCTAAATCACGGCCTTGGACTTTACTTTCTGGAAATTTTTTCTCCAGAGTTGAGACCCTTCAAACTCAACGCAGCTACGGAAAAGTTCAGTTGTCTACGATGACGCCATATTTAGAGACAACCCAAAATGTTGTGCCGCTAGCGCGTTCGTACCATAGAGCTATGTTACCTGCTCACAGCAGAAGCACGTTATGTTGGCAAGATAAAACTTGTTTTGCCTCGAGTATCTGTGTTTAACGACAAGAATTTACTTCTCAAAGACACAATTTTTTTTTAACTTGTCAATAATGTGTTCCGTTTTTCTCGTTGTCAGTGTCACTTCATTATGCACTGCACATTTAGCTCTGTATAAAGAAACTGGTAAAGATAACATACTTTCAATGCGAATCAACCGGCTGTGATCTGGAGTTACACGCTCGTTTATTTGGCATGGATGTAGCCATTAGACTGTGGCTTTCACAGGCATACTTGCCCTTCCTGGCCGCAATATCTTACACAATAGACTGGGTATACGCTGTGCAGTTTCCTCTGAGCAAATGGTTTGTTACCAGTCTTGAGAAAAGGCTAGTCTTCAAGCCTCGTGAAATGTGGAATTCTACTTCCTTTGAGAAACTACTCCTCCTCAGCCACGATTACAGCCTTTGTTCAAGTCTAGTTAACCCTGCGCGCGTTGTTTAAAAAAGCGCTTCCTGGCCCTGTCAGAGCGATTTACACGAAACCTCGTACATCGATCAGGGCCGATAGACTCAGTACAAAATGTCGCCATTTATCAACCACTTTACCAAAATAGGCACACCAGTGCACTCCTCTAGGAAAACCGTTTTATCCACATTTCCAAAAAGCAAGGAAATTGTAAATGGATAAGAAATACAGACCGTGGGGCGAATGTTTTATTCATAGCTATATTCATGCCTATAACAGACCGGATGGAAGTTATAAGGCAGTAATCGGCACTTGGTGCCACCCTGCATTAGTGTAAAAGGGAGGACATGTGCGACCGCCTGGAAACGGGTGACACAGATGGTATCGAAGTACGGTCGAAAGGGAGGGGATTTCACGACTCGTCCCTCTTTTCGAATGCCTTTTGCTGGAGATCTCTAGTAAGAGAACGGCCCACCCAGCCCTCGAATGACTGGGGAGAATAGGATTCGGCAGAGGATGCACCCCCGGCACAATGAACACCCCTCGTCAACGTGTCTCCGATGTTCAATTCATTAGGGAGATGAATTCATCGAAATGAATCCGAATGCCGGTTAACTCATCATCGATTATACCGCGGACGGGGAGCAGAGACACCGACAACGGAGACCACAGCAATCTGCCGTATACTGTGCTGGACGAAGACAGCAAAGCTTAGCGAACGAGAAAAAGTGGCGCACTGGCCCATGACGGCCTATTCACCACCACCCTCAGCAGACGAGAGAAAAATCCACGCACCCATCCCGGAGATGACGACGATAATGAAAGCGAATTTTCCGGAGGCTTTATTGGGGGGGGGGCGGGGGGAAGGGGGAGCCCGAGGCAATGCATGGCTTATGGAAACATGATGGCAGCGGTAGTGCGTGACGGACGTGGAGATGAGACGAAGGCCTTAGTCCGTTCAGTTTCATTAATGATACAATCAATTACTGCGTGTCCTATCCGCGAATAACCTACGGTATGTCAAGGGCTAGTTTAAAGGAAGCTGTTCATCCCCGGCGACTGCTGTGTTATGCTTGGAGCAGTGTTGACGCTCGCGAATACTTTATTCTCCATACAGCAAATGATGCTTGGACCAATCTTTTTCTATGGCAAAGCACACGACCCAACGTTCTGAAACGAAGTTTAAATGATAGAACCCTGGTTTTGAGATTTCCTTTCAGTTTGTAGTTAAATTTTCTGTTTTTTTGTAGATTCAAGGTTTTCTTAAGTACAGTGTTAAAAAGTCAAAGCAAAGCCTTTTGTTTCTGTATTGCAGTCATGACGGCATTTTAACTTTGTTATATACAAAACAGGATCATACCGAAGAATTATATTAGCCATAACGTAATAAGAAATTTCCTCCTCAGTTCATTATTCCTGACAAATTAAGATCGAACATTGGGGTGCATAAAGACTCGTACCCTTGCGGTAAACGGGAAAAATGTGAGAAACCAGGAACCTGTGATTTCGAGACGACTTGTGTGTAGGTGTCCATGTTTGTTTCGTTGGTTGGCAAAAAGTTTCTTTTCTTTTTCCCCTTTGTGGTTCATTGATCGTATTCTGTTTGATGAATTCGAAAAAATTACTTTGATGGGCCCAATGATCATTGTTACAAAATGTGGCTCTTGAGAAACCCTCCCTTCCTGATGCCTCAAAGTGCGTAGTCCATTTTGTTGGCTATACAGGGTTACGTGTTCGAAAAATACTACACATGGAAGCACTGAAGACCATTAGGGTTGGACGTTACGCTTTGAACACAAAGTGCACGCTCGTACAGTTTTCAAAAATCACTGTCACATCGCCCTGTCTCCCAGCAAACCTGAGGCTTGCAGTTGGTGGTTCGAATCCCCCGGGGTCTTCATCATGGGTTTCATGTTGGTCCTGCTACATGCACGCCGCTGAAAAAAAATCACATTATTAAACAGTATACCATAGCCAAGTCGGCAAACCCTGTTTCTACGATTGTCCTGAAATCCAGATAGAGGGCCTTATCAGGTATTCCGTAGGCCCCAGGCACCATCGTTCGGTAGGCCATATGTACCAGTGATCCACAGGTCCTGTTCACTTCGCCCTAGGATAGGTACAGCCACCAATTTCACAAAATATAGGTGTATATCTCTGGAGCCTCGTATTTTGTGCTACTTCTCCCTTGCGTACTCTGTGAACAGACACTTTTAAATTTGAATCTTCCCGCAAATCGAAAATTTACAGAGCGAGATCGGAGACACTGACATTATTCTTTTGCGTGCACACGGATAGTGGTGATCGTGTTTTATGGTACAAATATTCAGTAATTTACGCTAATTTCTTCGGCCCTAAAACTGTTCGTAAGCCCAAGGCATCTTTTTCTCACCCAAGAGCCGCAGCTTAGGAGCTGCCCCATCCCATCTGAATCTGAACCGTCGAGTGGGGGGGTTGGCAGCAGGATCAGGTTAAAAGTGGTTGACTATTTTAGAAAATGCTAACCGCCTTCTCCAATGATTTTCGATACTGAAGGAGTCGCACAATTTTTCTGGATCCCTTGGTGGCCATGTCATACACATTTCGCCGAAAACACAGTATAAAGCTCCAACCAATCCAATCCTTTGCCCGGCTCCCGAAAATAAGCATTCGTTGTAGCTGTTTAAACGGCTACATTAATAAACCTTATACGATCGGCCGACTCCAAGTTGTTCATCGTTGCTTTGGACATTGCACTGCACAGTTTGTCAAAATAATATTGCACAACTGGAAATCAAAGTTTAAAATGGACATATACAGTAGCTGCTTACTTGTGTGAAATCAAACGGCGAGGTATCATCCCAGCTTGGCAATGGTGGCAGCACATTTTGCTCTGCAATCGTTAAATGAAAAGTTGAAGAAAAAAAGTCATTACAAAATTTGAGACGATTTTCGTCTGGTTTGGTCCAGAATTCTCGTTCATATAGCATACCAGCATCAAACTGCAAAAACTGTGGTGTTTAAAAGCATGTTTTTGGCGTTATCAGATGACCACACCATAGGATGTTACTTTAACACCGCTGGTGTTACTTTGCACACCTATAAGTGTTACAGGGCACTGGTGTTAAAAGTAACACCAAATAACACCATACGTTTTAAAACCAGTGAAAAGTGTTGGTGTAGTCCTCTAATAATACCGGGGGTGTTAAATTTAACACCCAGTTTTTGCAGTGTATGAGCATTGGTCAGTGGAAATTAGATACGGGAAGGGGGGGCTCGTATCTCACTATTTAATTGAATTGATTTTATCTATGACTATGATGTTCGAATGTGAGTACACAAACGATAAAATATTGATTAAATTATTGTTAACATCTGGCACAAAAGCCATTTTGGTGCTGTTTATGTGTATATTTCCAGCCGTGTTCAGTCATCAAAATAATTATGTCCCCACACTCACACGCATGACAGTGGCACTGCAGATAATATACATGTGCACCACATAAAAAGTCATCAGAAGCCATGAGTTAGGGCATAGTTTAGAAAGCTGACTACGGGTGGCACGGCTCGGGTGATGCGTTTGACATGATGCGACTGCGTTCCAGCTACTCGGTTTTCTGACATCAATTTTTGACTGCCAAAATTCTTACTCTCGATAATCACTGCGTGGGAAAACAATACATTTTGTGTGCGCAATTGAAGTCTACTGTTTAATGATCCTCCCAAATAATATGATTTCGTAAAGAATGCGTTTTAAGCCTAACCAGGCAAATCCAGAGCAGTGCGCCCATAGTGAGCATAGCAATTTAATGGATGCATTTGCGGGAAGTATTTCTTTCATCGCTGTGAACTTTTGAATCTGACACCGAGCTCGAAATTATTTGACCATGACTTGATATAACACACAAGTCCGTGGGGAATTGTTGAAACCGCTAGCTGCAGCGCCTCCGGCTTTCATAGTGCACATATTATTTCCAGCGGTAGACAACCTTCTGGATACGGCTTAAGCAACAGTGCAAGAGTGTTACCATTGGTGTAAATTCATCATGCGATGCAAAATGAAACGGTGTCTGTCTTCCGCAAATGTTGGACTTGGTAAAGAAGTTTATATTACACCGGTACCAGCCCAAGACAGAATAAATAGGAATAACCATGGAGAAAAATTATGAAACGTGAGCGGGCTTTTCTCGTCCGCTATATCTTGAACGTTTTATTTCAATTCATCTAGGTCAGGAAGGGAAAATGGTGCGGCATGACTGTGTGCCACTGGTGGTTTTACAAAAAAAATAAAATAAAATAAAAAGGAATGGGATATCAATTTCAAGAAACGAGGTCTTAAGACGGAAAGAAGGCTCCAAGAAGCCTTGCCTGTGCTAACGTTAATGATCACAAACATCGGCAGATTGTGGCATAGATTTTTTTACAAACCATAATCTGTTTCCTAGTTTCTTTTCAGTCGAGTCACTTCATAGCAACACCATTTGTATACCACAAATAAACGAGGAACATATTACTGGAATTTACCCCCCCCCCCAAAAAAAGCAAGAGAATATTCAGTAACCCCGAAATGATCTTAAACGTATGCAGTGTCTATTATTTGGCATAGTTTGATAAAATTGGCCCACCAAGGTCTCTTGGGTTTATTAACCTTTGCCTCCGAGAAAACCTTGCCAACACTTCTTCGATGAGCATGCCAACGTTTTTAACCTACTCCCTTTTGTTCCAATCCAGACCTACATGTTGGAAATTAGCGTAATGTAATGCAGCGACACATGGGTCTGTTGTCGGTGGTTACAGACTAAATCTTTTAAAATCAAATACTGATAGTGAGATAGAAAAACAATCGATAAATTTCATCACCATTTCGTTTTCCGTTTAAAATGTACGAAATCGACAAGAACTTATAGAACAAAAGTGGAATAACAGACAGGAAAAGCTGTATTCATTTTAGGAAACCATTTTTCTAAACACTTTTGCTATCAGTCTGTAAACATGTTTACTAAGTGATAACAAGATTGTGTTTAACTGCTAAAAACAGATTATTAAGTGCATCATTTAATTTTAAAAGAGCCGAAGCGGCCCCTTCCACCGACAATTTATCCAACACCAACCCAATGCATTTTTCCTTAATTCATGCCCAGTTTTCAGGTTTTAATTGGTCATAAATGTTTCATATTTATCTTTCTCAACTCTTGCGAAAATTGGGCAAAAGGTTGGAACAAAAATGCCCATTTTTTTGAGACACGTCGGCTAAAATGCACGATTTGGTGTAAATAGTGTCTCTTGTGACAAAACGTCAGGTACGAAACATCCCGAAGAAGCATTTGTTTTTCCAAATTAACGGTGATTTGGAGAGAAACAGTGAAATACATTTTTCTTAGTTGAAAGGTCAAAATGTTTAATTGAATATAGATTAGCGCAACTTAGAGCAAAATTATTTAAAAGCACAAACAAAATTATGTTTTGAGAATAACATCATACGCTGAAACCACAACGCCATCCCGAAGGATGGATGAATATGGATTTCATGACACAAATCTACCGTCTCGAGCACTCCAAGATCAGAGTTATTTGTTCGGTTCTTTGGTAATTTCACTCAAAAATCCGTATAACGTGTAATGAATACTAACACTTTGTGTGTTGAAGTAGATCGTCTGCTAGGCTTTGAACTATTCAAATAATACTTGCCCTGACTGAAGTAATGGCCCTTCCGGACGTAGACGCAGGCCAACGACATGACGTGGAGGAAGGAGAGACGAGCCTTCACGGCGTTGGGCAGCGGGAGCAGTTCTCTCAGCCGGTCGATCTCCGTCTTGATCAGTTCCCGCCGCTGCTTCGACGCCTTGCTAGTCGACCGGTGCATGGCGGAGAAGCCACGTTTAGGCGGATGACGACAACACGGAAACCCACAAGTCGAAGATATATCGAAGATATTTTGTTTTAATGATGAGAACTCTTTAACAGATATCCTCACAGTTTTCGACTCAAAGTGATGTTCAGTTTGCGGTGCTTTTGCAAGCTTCACATTTTAGGCACACTGTCTCGTAATCACCTGAAGTTTTTAAGAGAGCTGGCTTGTTAAATTGCAGGTTTTCCTCTCTCGTCACAGTGCAAACAGGTTTGTCCGTATGAGGCAGACTGGTTGGTGACTGACGTACCAACCTTTTGGCAAGAGACTCATGTGGTCATTTTCACCTCTAAATCTCCATTGTTTAAGATGGCGGAGTTACACATTCAACATAAAGGTTATGAGGAAGTTCCAACGGTTGTTGGCCTAAAATGACAATCCGTGATTGTTGCTTGATATTTCAACACGTTTTTGTCTCGTGGATCACAATATTCAACCAAACATTGTCTGCTTCCAGCCGACTATCAATAGCGGAACACTGCACACGCAGGTAATGAAATTACCCTGAACGCATATTTGTAGAGCCTTTAGGCAGGGCATCAAAGTGTCATTTAGCAAGTGTTGCTAAGTACAGCCCATCTCGTTTTACGAAACTTGATTAATCACGCTGTCAGTTTCTACTGTTGTTATCACCTCTTGGTGGTCTTGAAAGGGCACACTTAGTGCTTACTTAGTTTGCTATTTGTATGAGTAAATGTCCATCTGGTAAGATTATATCAAAACATGAGAAAGCCGCATGATCGTTTTCCGCGAAGTGTCCTGAGGAAGTCTGAATTCAAGAACTGATGTTTTAAACCATTTCAGGTGTTGTTGGGCGTGATCGATCGATAGACTGGTCTCGCATGTGCCACCTATCGACTATTTGCTCGTCTTTGTGTCTTGTCTGCCTGCAAACGTTGTCATTCCTCAGACGGAAATTTTCTTTCAGTTTGACTGCCTGCAATGAAGATCTCTTTCGAACTCGATGTCACCTGGCTGTTGTACCTTTTGGCCACCCTACACTCAAGAAGACTGGGGCTTCTGCATGAGACATCTAGGGACACCACACCGTGATTTCTCCAATTTGATGCTTCCTCCATCCATTCAAACTCCTCCCATGCCTGATGCAAACTCTGAGTTCGAAACGAAGTTCTCTTCACCGGACCGCATCCCGCATCCCTGACCGTGTTTTGAAGCATTTGCTCTTCCCGTCGCCTCAGTCTCTGCCGACCGTCGGGCGCACGTTACCGTGACCGCTGAGTCTTGATGAATACCGTGCCGTTGGGGGATTCGCATATTCCGCCCCTCATTTCAACTTAAGCCGTTCGGCGAGCAGCAGCGTGCGTTCAACGGTGGGACGAAGACTCGGGTGGTGATGTCGTCGCTCAAAATGATAATGGCCTCGGCAAACTCCAGATCTGACAAAATTCTACGCCCGTCGTATTATAAGATTGATTGGAAATATCTTCCACTGACGTTCGTTTGTCCTAAAGAGGCACCAAAATCTGGCAACGCCAAAATGGTATCTGCTTCATCTAGCATGTTTTTGCAGTTCAGTGCAACCATTTTCCTTGCTTTGGAGTTACGACCAGTATGTCGACGTACCAGACCCTAAACCAGTTTGTGGAAAGCGCGTGCAGTATGAGTCTTCAAGCAATGAAAACTTTTCTGCTGATTTTCCTGTGAAAATATAAAAGCGAATAAAATGTGAAAAGGATTCCAGTGCTAGCGCAACTATTTCAAATAGTTTGCAATTAAGTGACTAGATTATGCCATTCCATAAGCAGAGCAATCCAAAAATTAATATTGAATTAATTAAAATTGAGATGGCACATTTCCCAGATAAAACGAAGGAATGCATTTTTCCCCAGCAAGTCGCCTTTACTAAAAAAATTGTTTGGCTGACTGGTTTTGTGTGTGTGTGTGTGTGTGTGTGTGTTTCTGTTTGATTCTTGGTTGGTATTCTGCTTTTAGTTCATTGCCAACAGATACCGAGAAGACGAAATTATATTAACGGTGGGGCAACAACTGCACCCACACTACTCTCCGCCTCGAGCAGAAGCATCTCCTTATCGGTTAAAAAGAGCCATATTAGTCGGGAGTGTTCATGATCTAGCTAGCTCTAACGCTTGCATTTCCTAGATCGTTCTTGAACTGCAGCGAAGTTCAGTTCCGACCAAAGGAGGCCCCGTTGCTAAGAAACTTGTGCCCTCTCTTGGTTCAGCTCGAGGCTCATATTGCATACTCTGTTGGCGTTCACTAACCAAATATGGACTCGCTGTTTTCGAGTTTCTTTTCTATTTTTCTCAGAATTTGACAAAATCGGAATCCGCTTTTTCAGTATTTATTCCAGCTTTTGACGGGAAGCTACTTCGTGGTGTGCGTTGGAAGTCGACTTCAGATGCGAAACACTCCGGCATGTGCGTAACACTTGCGTTCCTTGCAGCGAATGGTCAGAAGCCAAAGCATTATTTTTGAAGGGTTGACGTGGCAATATTGAGGGGGTGAGTGAAATGAGGAAATAGCGAAGGATCGCAGCAGGGACAGGGAAATATTTTAGCCCAGGCAGCGTTGAGGTAAGGTTGCTATACTACTCTGGATCCAATGCCTTGTGTACAGCTTCTACAAGAAGCCAGCCTACTGCTGCCGCAGAGTTGAGCTCCTCGTCCGTGAAGCCTTTTCGATTTTAATTAGAATAGGCCAATCAGGAACAGAAACGGTGACCTTGGCATTTTCGACTTGTAACCATCTTGCATTTGTGCCTATGTACAGTAAGCCTGCCTACCGGCCCATTTTCACCTCCCATTTTTCTTACCACTGACGTCACTACTGTCAACCGAATGCACCATTTCCCAGGTTTGGGCGAGGGTGGGTTTAATAGGTCTGTAGAGCCGTGGTGTGTGTCATCGTGGCTTCAATACATAAATCCATGCTGTTTTGGGGTCTTTTTGTCCTTCTCTCGATGCTTCCAGCGGAGATATGCACCTTCTCAGTGGTACATGCATATCAACATTTTGAGTCAAAAGGGGCAAAAATTGTGATTTTGGTAGTTAAAACGTGTGTTTATCTTTCATTCGTTCAAAGCTGGAATCCTAAACACGGAGGTGGTTAATGCATGTGTACCATTTCTGCAAGGTGTTGGCTCTTTCACAATTTTAATCTGAATCCTCCATCAGGAAACATCACACCAACGTATTATCTTCTTCTTCCTTCACTGTGCATAAACCTCCACACTTTCTTACAATTGCTTATTTCGGTTCTCGGTTCCTTTAAAAAGGCGATCTGTCCGGAGAGTTCCCCCTCGGCCTTCTCCTTCCTCCTCAAATTATTCAAACACGGTCCCCCATTGTATTCTTGAGGCATTAAATCTCCGCTGGGCCGCGAGAGGGCGCTGTACAATTTAAACACCTCCGCATCGCATATTGATCAGGTGCAGCCTAGCCAGCTGCTATTAGAAACGGTCACGTACATCTACTGCTGAGCCTTGCTATTAAAGCGACGAACGGGTAGGTTGTATGAATTTATGTTGCATTCAGTCGTGTCAGCCGTCATTGGCATCACGTTGCCATGTCATTGATGGTTAAAGCATGTGCATAAATCAAAAGCTCCATGTTTAAAGAAAGTTGTGGGTTGTAGAATTTGCCGATGAGCTGAAGTTCTTGCATGTCTTGGTGGTCCAGGGTTGTATAAGTTCTATAACTGAGTTGTACATCATGTACATGTAGTAGGCCAGTACAATACGACTGAGTTTGTCCAGGGTATTAACATCGGCTCGCTGAGCGCGATCGCTTGATCACCTAGCGCTGTCACTGTCGATCCTGACTGAAATCTCCGACTTTACTTCCCCTTGAAAGAGTTTCATATCCGGACATCACTTCACACCCTGTGGGGTGCGCAATTTTTCTAATGCTTCGATATTTGGGCCTAGGCTACTTCTCAGGACCTGTTAATTATGTAAAGTCTGTAGTTATCAAGTAGCCATCTGAAAGCAATAAAATGTCCTAAAAAGAAAAAAAGAAGCTTGCACTTACAGAGATGAATAGTTTCCCTGTAAGTTATTCTGCATGCATGTACGTGTGCCAATTTTAATATTTATAATAATCCCTTTGTTGTTTGGTTTTTTGGCAGTCTCTGTCGCCAACCCAAACCACCGACCCGCACAGGTTCACCCGACGCCATCCTGCTTGTGATGTCACAGGTCGCCTAATGCCTGCAGGATGCCCCATTGGACGGTTCACCTAGATGGCGGGCCTCGACGGGTGAACCACGCGGCGGCGTTGGTAGGCAACTGGATCTACATGTTTGGTGGTTACTGCACTGGAGGGGACTATCATTCACTGATACCCATTGACGTCTATGCCTTAGATACTGGTGAGATTTTGAAAGTAAATGTTACTGACGTAAAATAAATGTACACTTATCTTTTTTTTTAGGTTTATTTATCATCACCAGTCATGTCACAGGCATAAATTCCACAGTTTTGAGGTTTATGGTTCAATGTCCATATCATGAATATATGGTGAGATTATTGGTAAATTGCATGCACTGTGGATTCCTCCAAGATCTTGGCTGTCCCATACAGTCTTTCTGAAACTTGGTATGCATGTATTAAACTATGCACGGCTCTCAGTACAAGTCTCAGTAAAAGAATTACGAAGTACATGTAGGTGTTAAGTCTCACATAGCTATAAGAATACCAGTAATAAAATCTATATCAAGTGTAAGTATGACAAACAGAGTCTTTATTTCCTTACATAGAAGGTTCCATTAATTTATACACAGTGGTTAATTTTGAAGAATTCAGAAGGCCCCCATTCTTGTGTGTTGATATTTGGATAAATAATCTGTTTCATTTCCTAGTCCTGCTGAGGTGGAGAAAGTTGCCAATTGCCAGCGGGGAAGAAACTAGCCAGAAGCTGGTTCCGTATCTTCGGTACGGCCACTCTGTTGTCAACTACGAGGGCAAAGTCTACCTTTGGGGAGGCCGTAATGACAACTATGGAGCCTGCAATAAAGTTTTCTGCTATGATACAAGTAAGCCAAGTCTCTTCCTGGAGAATGTTTTGAAATAGAATCACAAAGCAGTTTCATGGGTATTGAGAATTTACGTTTTTAAGAAAGGAGACCCAACCCACAGTTGGTTTCCTTTCAGGTCAGTTTCAGTTCCAGGTTGGGGCTGAATAGCACTACTGAGCCTTGAGGTTCATCATAAATAGACTCTCTAATGTTCACTGTATCTCATCATTTCAATCCTGTTCAACATTTGTTTCACTTGCCAGAGACACTGAAATGGTCCAGACCACGCACTGAAGGTGAGCGGCCCGGGGGACGAGATGGCCACACGGCTTGCCTCATAGGGGACAACATGTACATCTTTGGAGGCTTCGAAGATGGAGTAAGATTAAACCAGCATTAGTTACAGTGATGCGGTCTAATTTCCCCTCCCCCAACCACCCTATGAGATGATTTCCCCAATGACAGTCGGGCCCTTCCTGACACCTGGATTTAACATTTTTCTTTGACTCGGCCCAAGGTAACATCTGTGTAACCCACCAAGGGCATTTTGCAACACGACAGGGGGTAGGTCACATTCCTCGGGGTCATACGGGCCTTTCCTATTAAGTTTGAACTGCCCCCTAAAATTCACAAGTTTCAATATTAATATCAGGAGTTTAAGAATCATTTTCATCCATTAAAATTGGAAAATGTGGTTTTTATAACTTGACATCAAACAAATACTACAATTGGTTATCAATTCAGGAAAAGCTATCTCCCTTTCCGAGCCCCAAACTTAGGCTGAGAATTACATTCAAGACTGAGCTCTGGCCTCAAAGCCTTAAAACCAGAGCAAGCCCTAGTTTACAAGTGAAAACTACAATAACTTTAAATTTAAATTTAAAGTAATTTAAAATTTAAAGTAATTTGAAATAAATTGAAGTAATTTTCCTGGACTTTTTTCAGTCTCCAGGGATATTTTCCTGTCTCTCATCTGTCTCTGTTACTGCACAGGTTCCAAATATTGCCTTTGAAACAGTAAACTCAAACAGAAGTAAATGAATGCTCGACAGGTGCCATTATACGCTCATTGTATTTGACGAGTTGAAACTTCACAGTGATCTTTTTAATCTTGCAGATGGTGCAGTGCTATGCTAACACTGTGTACAGCTTGGACTTGAAGGAGATGTTCTGGACTTACATCAAGGCAAAGGTATTTGTTTGTGAGAATGTCTGGAAAAAGTCAATATATACACCCTTTTACCACCCAAACTTGCTCGTTGTATCCTTGTATTACCAAGCCCTTATTTTGTCACACGTTACCTGTGTTATTCGATGTCTGCCATGTCTGTAGGGTGACATCCCCCACTGGCGCGATTTCCACACCGCTGCGGCCTACCACCACCGGATGATCGTCTTTGGAGGTCGGTCGGATGAGTCGGGCCCGTATTACACCAACCGGGAGTTCTACTGCAACAGGCTGCAGGTGTTGGACACCCAGACCAAAGTCTGGAGCGCACCACCGACGACCGGTGACATCCCAATTGGCAGGCGAAGTCACTCCGCTTGTGAGTCTGCAATTTTACTTCTGCCCCCAAAACGTTGAAGGAATTGTATTCTGGTAGCAAGCAAAGGTTGCAACAAAGGTCCCTGCAAAACATAGTCTGTCCTCTGTCATTTTGTTCACTTCAATTGCTTCTTTGAGAGAAAAGAAAGCTGGTCAACAATTATTTGAATATTCACTACCTTACATGGGCATGGAATGGATTAACCACTTGCTGCCAGGTGCTTTTAAAAATGCAGTGCACACATACGGGCCATTTTCAAGATTTTCAGTTTTCAAAATTCTTCAAAAATTCATCATTTCATTTAATGGACATTTACACCCACACACATGACTGTTTGGTTGCTACTCTAAACTGACAGACAACTTTCATTGACTCCTGAGTATTGCAGCCAGGCCTGCCGCCCTGTAAAGAGAGCCCAGAATTGTGAGGTGTTGTGTAATTTCCTTTGTTCGAGTGGCGTCTTTTCAAACGCGGCTGGATTAGCATGCAGTGGCACTGTGTCACTCATCAATGGGGCCCTGGAGCAGTTTTGTCCGTGGTGCTAATCCGCGGGTGGGCTGTGCCCAAAACAGTGGTATACTGTTTAAAAACAGTGACGGATTACCTTAAATAATGCAACCCGAAAAATGATTGCAATTCCGAGCAGGAGGTCTTTTGTTCCGAGTACGGTCTTTTGTTACACGAACCAGCTCTTTTGTCCAATTTCGGGCAGCCCAGCTCTGCATATAAACCCTTGGTGACCGAAATGGGGTTACCCTGCTGCAAGTGGTTAACCATGTTTTTGAGTTATCAAACATAATGAGTCAAGGTCAAGTGTGCTCCTTTACATAATTAACGATGATATCCGGACCTTTCGATGTCAAGTCCCGTTCAAATGTTTTATGGTAAAGTGCACTTTTCAGGTATTGCTCTTCTCATCAAGTTCATCTCCAATTTTATTTAGTGTCAGAGGCGTATGGGATTGCTTTGTATTGTCTCTCACCCGTCAGTTGTCTTTTTATCGGGGGGGCGCTTCTGTACTTCCATTTTTGAAAATGCTTCATTTCATTTCAGTTGACCTGATTTTAAATTTTTGGTCCTCTGTGTTCTAAGATGTTTTTGTACTTTTTTGTTTTTGGAGCATTTGCCAATGTCCATACTCATGAGAAAAACATTGATGTTATTCCAGGGAGAAACCTCAGTGTTGCATAGATTTGTGTTGAGAAACTGTATAGGAAGTGTTGATTTGGCTTTGCTGTTATAAATGTCCTGTTCTTTGGTGGTTTATTTTCATTTCAAAATATGCCAATAAGCCAATGAACAATCTCTTCTCAGAAATGTTTCTAATGAGGAGACTTTGGGGACACAATTGTGACCTGTTTTCCCAAAATTTGCTGAGAGTCAGAATTTTCAAAAACTGAGATATTGGTATTTATGAATTCAGCAGAAAGAGAGCTTTCTAATGGCATGTACATGGAACACTTAGGGGAAAAGTATAAGGTGGCGATGTGACATTATTCTGGCAGCTTTGCGTCTTTGTTCCTGAGGCTGTTTCAACATCTCAGACTATAGGCACAATTAAAATGCTTTCGTGAAATTGCTGAGAAAACGACATTTTTAAATCTGTGATTCTGCGAAATATTTGGAATTAAATAGGAGATGGGGTACTCTTTCCAAATATTGCAAAACCCATAAATTGACCTTCACTTCAATATGAGTTTGAATCCTCAAAATACGAAAGAGCAGGATGCGACTTTATTCCCATTTTGTTATGACAGGTCACAATTTGATTGACAAAAGCTCTAAACCAAACAGTGTCTTCCTCAATCCACATTGCAGCAACAGTGCCCTCTGTTTTCCACAAAAGCCCAGACAAATGTCTAACAAGTGCACCTTTCATTACACTTAACCCCAAGAGGATGTCATATTGTTGTCATACTTTGAAGGAGAGTATTTAGTTGCTCAAAACATGCAGATTTCTTAGAAAAGTTCTTCGCCAGGAGCCCATAGAATTGACACTTGAATTTCACCTTTGTCATGAAGTTATGTACAGGGACCACATGTACATCTTCGGCGGTTACAATGACATCACCAAAATGCACTACAATGACCTCTACAGGCTGGACCTTTGCAACTATGAGTGGTCAAAGGTCATGACCTCTGGCCAGACACCTCGCAACCGCCGTCGGCAATGCTGCATTGTGGTCCAGGACCACGTCATCATGTTTGGAGGAACAAGGTTTGTTTCCTTTTTTATTACTAATGAGAGCGGGTGGTCTGATTTTTCTTCATTTAAAAAGTCAGCTTTGTGCAGAATCTGATTTGGAAAACTAAAAAATATATGTCTCATGACAATTTTCAAATTGACATATTTTCACCAAAAGTAGTCCATTGTCAAACTTTGACTGCCACCACGAACAGGAAGGTCTGTAGTGAAGCATTAATACTTAAATCCTCCGTTTATGACCAGTTGTGGAAATGCGTTTAGTTTTAACAATAGAAGTAATGTAAGGTCCATATTAAGAGCATCACCTTTTTTTCCAGTGTCTGGAAAATACTGTAATCCACTTCAACTGGCAGACTTCATGGTTGCAGCATGCAACAAATTTAGCTGGGAGTGGCTTACCAGAGCTTGCTGTGAAAAGACTTTATGAAATCTGCAGCCTAATACCATGTGCTCAAAGTCAGCTGAATATGTCAAACTTTGTTTTTCATTTCCCCTACTTTGTATTTGGTTCTGTACTTGCAGTATAAGGTTTGGCCATGTTACATTGTCATTGTCATTTGCATCATGTGTCCCATGAACTGAAAAATTCAATAGTCCCACCAACCATCACTTTCAGCTGCAGTGACCTGAAGATGGAGTGTAAGGCCCTTTTCCAATACTTGACTTGGGCTCCATCGCAGGCTTCGTTCCCAAAACCAATCCCCGATTGTGGGCCTGATGCGTTTAAATTAAATTGGATTACTGTAATTTCTGGCTCTCTTGCATCTTATTTGATGTTTTGTGGCACTATTAGACTAATTACTGCGCTTACAGCTTCAAAGTCAGCTAGTTAAAAAACGGTTGAAGCCTGAGACGGAGCCGAACTTGAGTATTGGAAAACGGCCGTCGTGGTAAATTTCAACTCTGATTTGGCTTAGTCTGGTCTGGTGCCCAGACTCTGACTTGGCCCGGTGTTGCCAGGACTAATCCTTTGTGTTTTGTGTTTGAATTTCAAGCCCAAAAGACACACCCATCCCCGGGGGCTCTGATGATGAGAACCTCATGGACCTAGCTGACCTCCACATATTGGACTTTGGTACGTGATCAGCCCAAGACATTCAGATCACATGAGAAGATTGGGACATAGCTGAAGGCTGGAATGACCTGTGGTGAATTGTCATTTTAGCTGGAAGGGACTGGATTTAGGGTTGAATTGACTACATGTTTAGATTAATATAATCACTGGTGGCGGAAGCAGGGGGGGGCACTTTTCCTGTTAGGGGGCATGGCCCCTCACTTTTTGTAGGATCTGTAATGGGGTGGGACTTTAACGGATTAGCCTATTAATGGATGCTGCCTGATGGTTTCACAACTCTCCCCCCCCCAACTTTGAAAATCGTTCCGCTGCCACTGAGATTAATCCTGACATCTTGAGAATAAATACTTTCTGTTTGGGTAAGGTGATACATTAATTTTAGTCTAGATCTCAGTTTGGACTTCAGAGTTATTCACACCGTGGTTAGAATGCACCTGCTGATTGTATGTGTCTATCTTCAATCCGACTGTTAATGGATACATTACTTTAGCTTGGGGGTAACTTGCAATGGTCTGGCATCCTGCTGTGGATAAAATATTAAATAGAACTTCACAATCTTCATTAAACTTTACATTAAGAAATTTCCAAAGTTTTTGTGCCCCCTCCAAGAACATTCCCCCCCCCCCAAAAAAACCCATTCAGTATCTGCCAGGACTGGTTTCCAACTCCACCAGCTTTGAGATGATCTCAAAAGCTGTGGTCTTTCTGGAGTAAATGCAATTTTTATCCAATACCCAGAACAAGATTAAAGAGTCACTCCTTGTACAGAGCCACCAGAGCAAGAAGATCAGGTACTTAGAGGTCCTTTCACATGTACTGTCTATTGATAGCTCCCTCGCTGAAGACCCTGTGTAAGGTGGCCGTTATTAGATATCAGCTGGACATTTCTTGCTTGCCGTTGGACATCAGGTGGGAGCTGGAAGCCATGACCACAGACAACAGCATCAGCCAACCGCTGGAGATGCCCCAGGGCTGACCAAGAGGAGAACAAGTTTGCCGTGTCAAGAACTGGAGTCTTTTTTTGTCTGCGGGTATGGATTTGTCATTAGGCTAGAGGATTCATAATGAACCCTCAATACAGGCAATGAGCAAGCAGGCGCCACCAAGAGGTTGTCATAGAGAGGCCATTTTCAAGTTCATGGTCGACCCCCCAAAATGGCCGACTTGGACACAATTGGCATTTCACCAAATGTCAGTAGACAGTTTGAGAAAATGTGTGTTCGATCGGGGCATTCCGTGTCTCACCTAAAAATCATGTGTTATATTAATTAATTCACACAAATACTCTAAATTTTTCAGAATCTTCAACCCAGACTAAAGGGAGAACAAGTCAAGTTCCCCATACACAGCACTGCCAGCGAAAACAACTTTTGTGATTTGTTTTTCCATTAATGCACTGCCAAAAAAGGCTTCTCAATGGCAACGTGTTGGGAAACAAGGTATCATGAATTGCCCATATTCACTGTAAAAGAGAGCAGTGGCAAGTGATGGGATAAAACTGTGAAGTCTCTTACTCATTTTCCAACATACCTCACAAGTGTGTGTGTGTTTAACCTGACCTAAGCTGCCATAAATACACGGTCCACACTGATTAATATCGCTCCATTACAAAAATGAAGCTGTGGTAAAGATATGTTGCACAAATCTTGTACAAATGACTCCCAAAGATCCATAGTCATGAAAAGTGTCTGTGGTATCTGGTTTTTATAAAAGTTGAGAGTTTCGGTCACAAACTGCACTAAATCAGGGGCCTGTTCAGTTAATGGTGTCTGCAAGCGTCTGTCTCTTTTTTTCCAAATTTAATGCACAATTTCCCATGCAGAGTGGCATTGCATTTGGGGTTGGGGGAGGGATGGGTACCCTTCAGCCCTTCTTCCCAATTAGACTCTCCATTATTTTGTAACAAGTGCCTCTTTTCTCACGGGCATACTTCTTCACGATACCCTTCGTCGATATCCCATCAAATGTCAGAAATCGTGCAGCCGTAGAAAGTTCAGTGTTGTTTTTTTTGAATGGCGCTGCCGTCACAATGGTTTATCCCTTCAACACCCTTTTCAATTTTACAATAGTCAGTAACTGATAAAGAGTGGCCTTTGTCACAATGGCATGACTAACAGGGGCACGGAAACAGCCCCCCCCCCATACTTGGGCCCTGCCCCCCCCAGCCCTGTACCCACCCCGTCATAACTTAGAGAATAAGTCTAGTCTGCCTTTGTCAGTGTCCTGACTGTGACCGAACCCATGGAGTGCCCCCTCCAGAGGATGTTCCCCAGTTACATCACTACATGCTCCTTGCAGAGCCGCTGATGTAATTGACCCATTGAACCGTTTATTGTGGGATGTAATTAGGCTTAATAAATGACCATTTTATTAACTGCAGGAATGTTTGTAATGTTATTGCATTAATCTACTAACATTCGGGTATGCCCCATATTTTACAAAGCATTGGATCATAGTGCTTAAAAGTACATGTACACGCATGTGAATATCCTTGTTGGGCATATTAATGTGCAAAAGAAAAAAGCATTGTGAAAAGCTATTACACAATTTATAAAGGCCTAATGTAATTTGACTACCGGAATAGGAAGCCATTATTGAGGTGGCACAATGCTCATGGACAGGTGGTACGCGCGCGTTATATGTCTCTTCCCACAAGTTGGGTGTCGTGATTTGCCAAATGCACGCGTGCGTCAAGCTGAAGAACGTGCGTGCGAGTGTGGTGCCACCGCAGTTATGGCGTCTAATCGAATTAGTCCATATAAACCCTACACATGTTTTTATTTGTACATTGTGTATGAGTATGTCAGATTAGGAAAAAAAAAAACAGTTACTGCTTTCATGCTGGGTGTAATTTCTTGACCTGTGGAATCTAAGTCAGTCTTTTGACATGAGCAAATTTTAACCTCTTTACACCCCTTAGCTCAGACATACAGTGGTTTTGTTTGCTTTTTTGTGAAATTTAGTTTTGTAGAGACATCCTAGAGACTAGAGATTGGCCCATTCAAAGCGGTTTAAAATTTTCTTTAATACAGTCGAACCTTAATACTGACCTTATATTATAAGAGATGAAGCCAGTGAAGAACAGACGATTGGGACCTTAAATTTTCCTTTCCTCGAGTCCAGTCAAGCATTTTGCTCGAGACACAATTACGAAATAAAAACAATAGAGAAAGTAATTTGCTGGCATTTTCGAAGTTACCTCTGGGTTACTACTTGACGTCACACCACATCCTACTCTCGACAATTGTAAAACGTAACATGAACTATATTAACTGGTGCGGGAAGTCATATTGCAACTTTTTTTCACAAAGAAGTTGGCTTTTATTTGGGGGACTCCAGTCGCGCCATTTGCGTGTAGTGACTCGAGTCGAGTCATTTTACCCGTCAGGACCGAATTGCCAAAATTGTGACTTTAGTCATTGGCTCGTCATTACAACTGTGGTACAAGGCCATGTGCAAGCCAGTCACAAGTAACAGGGTGAACTATTGCAAAGGACTGCTTTTGTTTCAGTTAATTTGCATAGCTTGTGACTTGAATTCAGATTGGCGGTCTTGTTGGGTCTTGTAATGGCCAGAAGAGGTCTTAACTATGACACTGCCAGCTTGTGTAGAAAAAGCACGCATTTTGCGTGGAAAATGTTGCGCCAAAACATGGAAGTGACATCTGCCGATAAAAGCTATCCTATACCCTGGTTTGGGGGAAAAGGGAGGCTTAACTGGAAGCTCTGTTCAATAAATGAAACGTGAAAAAGTGGAAATAAAAGTGAATGTACATTGATTGAAGTTTGAAAGATCGGGTGTGTCGATATTTTCAGTGGCAAGATTGTAGTATTATATTCAAAAAAGCGAAAACTTGTAGAAACTAACTGTAAGACGGTAAGGAAAAATAAAGGCCGGTTTATTCTTTAAATAAAGAACAAGCTATGTGACCAATTTATTTTTGTGTGGAATTGAAAATGTTTTTTTGCGATATGTGTATAGTGGGCAATGAAAAAGCGAAGACGTGGTTATGGTACTTCAACCCCACTAAGACATGAGCTATACTTCGCGGACGTGGGATCTGTCGTTTTTGCACAATTTATTCCCATTGGGTGTTCAGTTTTCAGCAATTTCTAAATGTTTGATGTAGTCGCCATGTTTTTGTTTTTTGTTTGTTTTTTGTTTGTTGTTGTTTTTGGACGTATGGCCGGCTTGGCAGTCAGGGCTTAGGGATTTGTCTCGTTTCCTCCCTTGCACGGTCGCTGGACCCTTTGGGGGTAAAAGGATGGGCAGAGAAGAATTGTTGTGGGCCGAGACCCCAGAAAAGTAAGCCAGTAACTGCGATTCACTGCAAACTTCTAGAGCAGGTGCGCCTGAATGCTTGGTCAATACCACATGACTGTTTTTTTTTCTTCAACTTTTAATAACAGTGAGAAACGGTATATGTTATATCTTTCAAATCAGTTTTCACAATTGTTTTTGAAATGTCACAAATTTAGAGGCGAGTACTCGAGTTCCTCTTGTCGGCGTGCAAATCTGCTTCTCCGGCTTCACGCCCTCGGCGGCGAGTTTATCCAAACAGGGGGAATTGATTGTGGCGCCGTGGTAACCGATGTCATGGAAACCGAAGTCGTGGGCCAGAATGAAGATTATATTTAATGGAATTTCGCTATTCCCTATGCACCGAACCAATTTTTGCAGCCGACGAGCATTCACTGGGGGCACTTTATTAAGCCACTGCGATCCACGTCTCATTATTCCACGCGTGATTTCAGAAATCACAGAGTTGTATAAAGGACCCATCCGTGGTTCAGAATAACACGGTTTCCATTTTGGACCACAGAGAAAACAAAATAGAATAAACTTTTCCCCAGTTTGGGCATGTATTAAATGTAAGTTGACGCCTTGAAGTTTCATACACAAGCCAAACACGAAGGAATATAGAATCACAAGGCACATGGATTTATGTATGATTTAATGTGCACATCAGCGCAGGCGCACAGTGTCTCCCACGTGGCGATGAGGCCCTGTACGGAGGGAATAAAGTCGTCGACTAAGAGGCCAGGGCGGATTTAGGGGGAAACGGGAGAAATTTTTTTCCATGTGTTTCAAAGTCAAAGCAAACTGAAATGGGACCATCACACTTTGTATGAAGCTACTGAATGTACATGTACATTTAGTTTATAAACGAACATGTCTTAAGTGGCCCAGTGGTTAAGTTGGCTGTTTCAAGATCAGGAGGTCCGGGTTCGAATCCCAGTGTTTTCATTTTGATTTTCAATGGACGCTCCTGGTCACTATAAAGCAGTTAATTTTTCTACCTAAAATACCAACAGTATCTTAGCCAACTGGGTAAG